GGGGGGGGGGGGGGGTGGGATGGGGGGCGCGAGGCGCGGCCGGCCAATCCCCGCGCCCCGCGCGCCACGCGCGCGCCCGGGGCCCCGCTCCCCCTTTTTGCGGCCGCTTTGGAGTTCCGCGGAGCCGGCGGGGGCCCGGGCAATGGGATGCGAGGGATGCGAGGGATGCGAGGGATGGGGGAGCTCCCCTTGGCCTCCCTGTTCGTTCCCCCCGCGGAGATTTTGCCTTCCTGGTGCTGTGGTAAAAGGTGCGCGGTTCATAACGCGGCTTGCCCGGGGTATGGGGATGGGTACGGGGCTCCCCCCGGGATGCGGCTGCTCGGTGCTGTCAAATAACAGCGGTTTGGGTTGGAAGGGACCTGGAAAGATCGTCTCGTTCCAACCCCGTTCTAGTTCCGACACCTTCCACTAGATCAGGTTGCTCCAAGCCCCGTCCAACCTGGCTTTGGACACTTCCAGGGATGGGGCAGCCACAGCTTCTCTGGGCAACCTGTGCCAGGGCCTCACCACCCTCACAGGGAAGAATTTCTTCCTAATATCCCATCTAACCCTGCCTTCTTTCGGTGTGAAGCCGTTCCCCCTTGTCACTCCGTGCCTTTGTAAAAGAAATGATGGTGAGGACATACAAAACAAAACCCCCAGCACACTGTCTTCCTGTGTGGAAACACCAGCTCTGAGGCACTCTGGGGGAGTCGAGCTTTGGGACAGGATTTTATTTGCAGCTGGTAGGGAAGCCTAAAACAGGTGAGAGAGCCAAAATCGCCACAAACGTCTCGCTGAGCACACCAGGAACTCGCACGCAAATGAGTCCCTGGCTCTTGCTGCCCACTGAGTTGGTGGCCCCTGTGTCACTCCCTGCGGGAGCGATGGCAGCCAGGCGGCTGCCTCAATTAGAGCATCTCCGTGACTCTGTGAGACATTTTAATGCTCCCCTTGCCCCCTTGTGAAAAGCAGGAGATGCACAGGATCCCCTCGGCATCTCAGGAGAGTGGCACAAAAGAACTTTATTTTTTAGAGGCGGTGCTGGGGGAGCATAACCCGCTGTGGTGCCTTTCTGGGGTTCAGCCCAGTTCCTGCTGCCAGCCCCAGCGATGCAGCAGTTTTCTCCTCGGGACTCAGCACAAGGTGACCGAGTCCTTGCAACCCTGCCGAGGCGCTTGTGTGGTCTGTGGGCAGAGCGAGGGCCGAGCTGCTCGGCCGAGAGCGGTGGGGAGAGGGGGCAGCGGGGGGAGAGGGAGTGGGATCAGGAGCGGGAATGCCGCTGCCACTGCTGCCCACTGCCTGAACTGTCCTCCAAGGGTCAAACTGTTCAACTTCAGCCCCTTTGCCAGACTCAATCCTACTTTAGGGGAACAAAAGCCCAAAGTAGGCGACGATCAAGAAATGGGAGCACAATGATTTAAGCTTATCACACAGCCCAGAAATAAAGGACGCTGAGCTCGTGTGGGGGAGAGGGGGAGACCTTCAGAAAGGCTTTGTTTGCTGTAAGAAGATTGAACTCTGAGGTGACCCGATAGCCCTAAAAGTTTAGGGTCTGTGTTGCTGAGAGACCTTTGGGCACAGCCCATCCACACGTGGACCTCACAAGTTGAGAGCTGGCGTTAATGGCCGGCCTGCCCCAGGTGAATGGGGGCGCGACATCCCGGAGAAAGGGGGGACAAAGCTGCAGGGACAGGGTGGCCTGACCCCTCCCTGCTCTACCTCCCTCACACCCACCCGGCCTGAGGTGTCCTAAGGGTTTGGGGTACCAGGGCTGCCCACACCAGGCTACCCAGCCCTATGGCAGCCCCCGCAAACCCTGTGAGTGAGATGGTTCTGCTCTTAAATGGGGGGAACAGAATATATCCAAATCCAGCAGGGTATTGGGATGCTCTATGGAGGGGAGAAATGGAAAATGCTGCAGTGTGTGTGTCCCCTATGCCCCGATCCAGATCCTTCCCGAACCCTCTGTGAGCTCAGCAAAAAGTGCTGCAGAGAGGGACAGGATGAGGACTGGCCCCCCAGATCCCAAGCCGCGCTGACACTTTCAGGGTTTTGGGATCAAGGCGAGGAGAGGGGATCCCCCATAAGCGCTGCCCCGGCATCCTTCCCTGGGTCCCCCCACCCCGGGCAGACGAGCCCCTCGTTGGGGGCCGATTGTTCCCGGCAGATTTGCATGGCAGGTGCAGGCCTGCAAAGCGATTTTGCCGTCCTGGGCCCCCCCCCTCGCCTCCCCAAGAGGGTTTGCCCCCCCCCCCCTTGTGAAAAAAGGCCGCCGGTGCCTTCCTTTCCCATGAAGAAGAGAAGAAGCTTGAGGATCGCGTGAACACGCTTCAGTTTTCTTATTCTTTTCTATAGATGTGGGGAAAAGAACAGCCGATTGTGTGAAAAACCCAGTGCCTGCAAAAAGGGACATTGGCCATCCAGGCGAAGGTGCGCAAGGGAGAGCACTAATCGCTGAACCAGGAGACAAATACGATTACCAGCTCCGAGCCTTGAGTCAGAAAGTCTCATAGACTTTAAGATGTTAATCCCCAACATAATCCTTCCTTTGGCGTGTAGGAATAGTGCAGCCACAAGAGTTGTTTTGTTATTTATATTGGCGTTTAATAAAACTCAGCCAGTGGTGAATGGGCTGCCCACTCTCCAATGGTAATTAATTCCCTATTTCAGTGACCCAATTGTGCTGGGATAGAGCAGTGGGACAGTCCCACTGCCCCAACCCGCCTTTGTGCAGCTACACGGCTCTCGTGCTTCAACAGCTATGGAAACTCATTCTTTTGATGTCATTCAATGAGTTTTCCTTGGGCATCTTCTAAACTTCAAGGACCCTTTTCTTTCTCGAATGCCTGAAAAGCAGGACTAGCTTGACCACCTCTGTAGAATTTAATGATTTGGTGAAAGGGCCTTTTTTTGGGGGGTTTGTGTAAGGAAAGAGAGAAAGAAAATTTGGCAGGCTGGCTATCAAACAGGGGGGCTATCCAAACTCGGGTGTGCCGAACTCATTCAGCTCCTAATTTATACGCGTCTTAAAAGCCACTTTTCCTTACTCAAAATACTTGGAGGCTTCTCTCAGTCGAGGCATTTCTAGAAGGGATTTGCTAGTGAGCAATAACTCTGTTTTACAGAGGTGAGTAAAGACACAGCAAGTGGTGTTTTAAGAAGGCGTTTCCATCCAGAAAAGGGAAAAACACCTGGATGTTTTTGCCCAGAAAAGGGGAAAAATACCAGGTACCTGCAATGGGTTATTGATATAAAGTGTGTCTGTGGGTTTATGCTTTTTGGTTGTACGGTGAGGTGGCGCAAGGAGTGTGTGAAGTGAGCACATGAAGAACATGGAGTTACCCTGCAGAGCCACCCTGGTCCGGGCAGCCTCTTCTATGTCTTTATACACACTTCCAAAAAAAAAAAACCAAACCAAAAACCCCCCCAAAAAAACCCCTTCGCAAGTCACAAACAATTCAGGATTCAACTAAGAAAACACAGAGTGAACCATATGGCCGGGGTGGCTCGAGTTGGCTGCATTTTCCCCCAGACAAAGAAGGGATTGAGAGTTGAAGGAAAGGAGAAAAAAACCCAACTTTCCGGCTGATGAAGCTGTTGTCTGGAGGCAATGATCCCAAATCTCAAGGCTTTATTCCAGGCTCCGACTGAGACGTGATATGTCATATGATTAGCATCTTTCATATTTACAAGAGTAGTGCGGGCTGCCAGTCTTTAGAGAAAGGCGAGAGAAAGAAGGGGCATATGCTGAAATGGATTTAGCATTTGAAAGAGAGAAAAGAGAGCGGATAAATACACTTAAACGAGGATTTAGTTTTACTCCCGTTGAGTTCTAATGGCTTGTTGATTGAGATTTTAGGGAGCTGGGACAGAGGTGTCAGGAGTAATTTAAAGGCGCTATTCAACCCTGCCCCGCGCGGAAGGACCCGCCGTTCCCCCTGAGGGAGGAGCGGTGCTGCGGTCGCAGTGGCGGGCTGGCTCCAAGCGGGGCGGATCACCGCCGCCGCCGCCGCCGCTCCCTCCGCCGGGCGGGCGGGTGGCACCCCCTGGCGGCGGCGGGAAACTGAGGGGGGCAAAGTTATCTGGGATCGGGAAAACGGGGGGAAAAAATAGGGAATTCTCGAGTGTCAGCCCGGACAGCACCTGCTGCTACAGGAGGGTGCTCACTGCCCCGTCCAACCTGGCCTTGGCCGCTGCCAGGGATGGGGCAGCCACAGCTTCTCTGGGCAACCTGTGCCACGGCCTCACCGCCCTCACAGGGAAGGATTTCTTCCCACTGTCCCATCTAAACCCTCCCTCTGTCATTTGAAGCCGTTCTCCCCCCGTCCTGGCAATCCACGCCCTTGTGCAAGTCTCTTCTTTCCAGCTCTCCAGAGCTTGGAAAGGGGGCCTTTTAATTGTTTTAACCAAGCTCCTTCCTGGATGTGACATATCTGTAAATACGCAAGATAACAGAATTGTTCTAAAATATAATTCTGTTATTCTTCAGACTAAATAACATAACACTAATACCATTAGATACTTTGTGAGCATAAAAGGATTTCACTTCTCAAGCAGATAAAGTCACTTTATTTTCAGTTATCAAGCAAATAAAGTCACTTTATTCAGTTTTAGTCATGTAAACGCAGGGTCAAACAGAAGCATCAGTACATGAGATACAAACAAACATGTACCACATTAAATAAATATTAAATTAGCAATTTTACAGGCAAACGATATTAATAAAATAGGCACACATTTTATTTTTCCTTCTTCTTACTCTGCTCCTCTTCCTTCCGTTCCTCCAGGTAGCACTTCAGAATGTCGTTTAGCTGCTGCTCGCACTGGCTTGCATTTTGTAATCCATTTTCCCGTCCTAAAACCAGCAATAAACAGGATAATTACATCTCTCTTTACAGCATCCCATCATGGAACCAGCCCCTGGCAGTGCTGACATCGATTTGCCCCAGAGTATGGACTGGCTGTGATATCTCTGCTTGGAAAATGGTTCTTCAGAGCTCAGCCACTAACAAGGTGCTTTCTTTGATGTCAGCCAAGTAGGTAAAGTCCCATTACTGGATTAAAAAAATACTCTTTGAGTATAAAACCAGCTTGCAGGTAAAGCTGCAAATGTGCAACGTGCATTTTCCTGTGATATGTTAGATTTTATACGCAATAAATATTAAAAATTAGATTTTATATGCAATAAACGTACTGGTTTATAGCTGTGCATGCCATATACTTTATATATTATTATGTAGCATATATACCCACTATAAAGTTTAATTAAAGAAGCTGAGCTGCACAGTGTCAGAAACCCTGGAAAATACTACCTTTGCAGTGGTGAATTACTCTTCCCCACAGCTTGTTCCTGTTTAAACAGGCCAGGTTTCCCAAAATCAGCAAGTGCCTCTTTGCCCTCGTTAGCGCGACGTTCATCCTCTTCTCCGAGTCTATGAACCCAAACTGTCTGGTCCTGACGCAGGACAAGACAATGATTTCCTTCTCAGCACCTTGGAAAGCATCTACAGTGGACACCTGGACAGGTTTCACTTCAAAAGCTTCGGAGTGAACCCCACTGAGCAAACTCTGAATCTGTGGGCAAAAGAAACAGGGAAGGGGGTGAGTTTGGCTGCTCAGAGTCAACCACTTGCCTTGAGAAAACACCCAACATATCTGAGCCCGCACAAGATGTGAACTAGGAAACCACAGAGTGCAATGTGGAGGGGAAAATGAAAATATATTTTTTAATAATTCTTTGAATTAAAATAGCTTTATTAATTTTACAGGCCAAAATAGGGTTTTTTTTAATGCAAAAGAGCAATTGTGGCAAACTACCCATAGTCACTTCTAGTTGACTCTTCCTAGTTGAAATGAAACCTGTGTTTAAAACAAAAAATACATTTAAGGAAGTGCTTTACTGATGATCCACTACACCTTATACATCTGTGATTTATAAAGAGTAATCACACCAATAGCAGCTCCTTCTATTCCACTGGCAATCAGAGACTGGATGAGCTTGACTGCAAAGTGAGCCTCTGCCATGTTGGAAAAGCTGTTGTCTCTTTCGATCTGGAAAAGAGGGAAGAAGATTTCCAAATGAGCTCTCACAAGCAGAACGCAAAAAGGAACAGAATGGAGGGGAAAACTAAAATACTGCCTTTATTTACGTAAGAAATACGTGTGAGAGAACGTTCCAAGAACTCACCTGCTCCATGCCATTCACACTGTAAAAGCACAGTGTTGGAAGCCAGTCCAGTAAAGGAGTTCTGTCCTCCTCAGAAATGCCGTCCCTGAGGTTCCCTCCGTAGAACAGCTCGTTGGCGATGGCACTGAGGGCAGGGTGACAGCGGTACTGTGTCCGGAGGAGTATTGCTTTATGTCCCTAAAAAAAAAAAATGAGGATAAAGGGTGACTAGGAAGTGTTCAAGGCCAGCTTGGGTAGTGGGTGGTGGTAGGTGTGTCCCTGCCCATGTCAGGGAGTTGAATTAGTTGACCTTCGAGGTCCCTCCAACCCAAACTGTTCAATGATTCCATGATAATTTTCAAGGCTGAAACTCTGATCCTCTGACATCTAAACCAGAGTTTTCCTGGTGACTTCAGGGGACCTGCAATTCCACCCTCCACCTCTCCCAGAGGTGTGGTTGGCAGTACCTACCATTAAGCAGAGCCGGTCAAAGAGAGTCTGCTCCAATCCCTGCTCATGGACACTCTCAGACCCTTGAACAGTTGGTGGTAGTTGCCTGGGGTCTCCAACAAGGACGAGCTTTTCACACTGAAACCTGAATGGGAATGTGAAAAAACATGAAAAAAAGGTCTAAAAATGAGGCTGAACTGCTCATAACCAAAGTGTGTGTGCTGTGTTTATACATCCCACTGCTTTCCATCCTCCTCCCTGCTCCATCTTCCCACGGTTTAATAACACCCAAGGCCAGGCCTCCATTTAAAATTACTGCTCTTGCTCTCTAAGGTGAGACCTCGGGGTTCATGTGCTTAAAAAGATGTGGGCTTTGGCACTTCCAGGAGGTTGTGTCCCTGCTAAGCAAGTTATTTCCCTGCTGAAGCACCAAAGGAAGGCTGTACCTGGCGATGGGAAGGAGAGAAGCAGGTTCAGTCATCTGACTGCACTCATCCAGCATCACCACGGGGAACCTGAGAGCGTTCAGGCAGGGGAAGGGGCAGGCAGCACAGGTCACTCCAACCACTTTTACCTTTTAGTAGTGGGGGGAAAGTGGGGAGGCAAAAAGTGAGGATCATTTCGTAGTCCATCTCTGTGCAGTACATCACTATAGCAGTAGAATTGCTACAGGCTAACTCGTGTCTCTGGTTCTCAATGACCCGCTCAGATCTGCTTTGTTACAATTGCTTTACAACAAGCTGTGACTTTCTGAGCCTAGGACTGAGGAGAAATGACTGGAAAGACCAGAAATTGAGGCTATTTTTCTACAGGGTGTAGTAATCTTTAAAGGTAATACTCTGATGAAAAGTTGCTTAAAATATATTTGAAGTGTCCTTGGCGGTTGATGCACAGCTCCAGGATAGATTTAGCTCAGTCTTTATCTTTTAACCTTTATGACTATATAAATTTTAGTTTCAAGGTGACAGTGCAGACGAGCTGTAGTGAGAAATTTTTCTCTGCCCACCTTGAAAACTAAATTGGCAATATTAAATCAGCTTGCAGTCGAGTTCAAAAAGGGTTTCTGTCTTACATCATTAAAAAAGAACTGCGAGTTCAACTCAGAGAAGTCCTACACAGGTAAGACACTAAGCTATACCCGTGGAATCAAACCTAACACTTTATTTTTCAAAATTAGGAGCCTGGCAGGTGTGAGAGGGAATTCCCAGTTTCCATATGGTGGGTTTTGTGGCTAGGACACGGTGAATCCCCACTTTCCCATCCCATCTCTTTGACTGTACCTGTTGCAGGATGGTTTTATTGGTCCCCAGTTTGTGCTGCTCAATGCTCTTCCTGACATACATTTTTTCAGCTGGAGTCAAATCTTCTTTCATGAGAGCAAGCAGCTCTTTCAGCTGCTCGTTTTCATTTCCTGAGCCTGCATGTAAACTTCAAAAAAGATTTTTTTTAAAATGCATTACAGTGACTGAAAATAACAGTGCTTGGAAAAAATGTACAAAAATAATCACACTTCATACATAACAGTGCTTCAAAACAACATATTAACCTATCCCAAATTGCTTCAGATCCCATAAAGAACAAGTTTCTTACCTGTGGGGAAGAATTGCTTTGGTGATCTTCCTAATACTTCCCACTCTGATAAAATCCTCAAACCCAAGATCGAGCAGGCTTCAGAGAAAAAGAGAAGACAGATGTCACAGAAATGGAAGAAGAAACTTTGAAAACTTTACAAGTGGTTTTAAAAGGCACATCAGAACACTGAAAAACACGAACTCCTGCGATCAACCAGCTGAAGTAACTCAGGCCACAGTCTTTCAATACCAACACATTGATCTTCACCATGTAAGTGCATTATTATTTCTGGAAGAAGAGGCTGTAAAAGCCTCAGTGACCCACCCCAGCAGTATCCTGTCCACGGCAACGTTGGTGGAAGAAGCAATGAGAAGTTTCCATGGAGTTGGCCTTGGACCCTCCGTGGCTTCGCTGCTTTCGAAGAGCTGTACGAGGAACAAGATCACCACAGACAGCAGGTAGCTCTTGCCAGCCCCAAAAACACCTGGCATTTTGGAAGAAAAAGCCAAAGTTACAAGTGAAATAGAAGGAAGTATAAAGCAGTAAGGAATAGTGTGTAATAGGAAAAAAAAATTATAAAATTAAGCAAAGCTGATACGTGACCAAAAGTAGATTTAATTTGAAAAGAAAGAAGCACTCTGATTTTGTGTACAGATATTTCTAGGGAAAAACTCAACACTTCTGTGAAATCCTGCAAAAGGCAGAAAGCAAATTCGAGGATGAGGAGCTCTGTGCTGACAGAATGGATGTCTAATGTCAAGGTCATTATTGGAGAGGCCTCATCCAGAAATTAATTTTCAGGAAGTGCCTGAAGTAGGTGAGGGGACAGCAGCATTACAAAAGAGGATATTCCATACACAGGCAGTTTATTCAAGCTCATCTTTTGGGCTACGTTTCAAATAAGTCAACGCTGAATTTGCCTTTAAGTCTGCCTGAAATTGTAAATATATGATGAAGGAAACAAATCTACTGAAATGTTTCATCTCTGGGATATTTCCCCTAACCCTGGCATTACATATTAATCAGACATTTGCTGCATACCACGTATGATTGTGATGGGGAAGCTCTGATGTTCCTCCTCTGGGGTGATATTCCCACACGAGGTCATCATCCGAGCGATGTGGATCAGCGACGTCGCCTGGTCCGGGTTCAGGGAGAACCTTTGGATCATCTCCTTAGCCAGTCCCATGGCCACCTCAGAGCTGACAGGGCCAGCCCTCATTGAGCTTTTCAGGCTCATGGCAGGAGGAATAAATTTTCTTTTGTCGGCTCTTTTCGGAGCATTTTCAGAGTGACGATTCCTGAGGGCAAAAAATAGTCGAAAGTTGGGATATAATATAATTTGTATCTCTTGGTTCTGATACTCTCAGTGACCCAACACTGAACTGCTGAGGTTTTATGACCTGCTCACAGTATGAACAGTAACTTACATGTTTAGTAGGTATGGGATTAGTGGTAATGTGGAGGGATTGAAGTGTTCCTCCATATTCCTTAAGGATGCCAGCTCCCCACTGGCATTACAAACCAACAGGGCGTGAACACACACTGAAAAAGGCCACAGAAAAACAAAAGTAGGAAGAAATTAAATGAGCCAATATTTCACATCATTATAAAGTACCAAAAGGGTAATTAGCCAACTTCATCTCTTTCATTTACAAACCAAACCCAAACAACCCCCAGACTTTGGCTCAGTTCAACAGCAAAACCAAGGAACTTTTGCAAAATCACAGATTTAATACATGGCTTTTTATATAAATATATATTTATATATAGTATATATATAGTATATATATATATTTATATATAGTAGTGAGTTGTTTGGGATTGTATTTTCTTTCTCAGGGACAGTACCAACATATTCCTGTTATTTACACTGTGATAGGCAACTTGCATCCTATATTGTATTATTTACTATATTGTATTATTTATATTATCCTCATTTCTTCCTCCCTCACTTAGAATTTACCAGCTGCTCTGCAGGTTTAATTGCATTAAGTGCTGTGTTCAAATCAAGTATTCAAAGATACAAGTGAAAAAAATGCTGTGAATTAAATCATGTCTGAGGTTTGGGAAATTCTAATCTCTTCCTTCGTTGCTGGCTGGATTTCTTCGTAGTTGTTGCCCACAATTCTGAATTATTTGGTGAAGAACTCACTGTTTGATCTCCAGTTTGAGGGACTGTAGCCTTTCAATGGGAGCAATTCTATTTCATTGTTGGAGGATGGTCCAAAGAAAGCACTGCTTGCAATGAAAGTATCAATGGGATCAAAGTTCAGAGTCTTTGAAACCACCCAAATATCATCTGTCAAAAAAAATACAGAGTTCTCATAAGCTGCTCCTACTGCCACCTTTGAAATCAGATGCTTGGGATGTGCTTACCTTTGCTGTAGAGAGAAGAATGCTCCTTTTTGCTTAATTTGAGGTATAATTTGGGTTTGGAATCACCATCTAAGCTGGCAGGTGTATTCATAAATTTCTTGAACTTACTGTACCTCTGGGTTTGAATTTCAAAGGCTCTCCTGTGAAATTGTAAGTTTAAGGAAAAGCATGTAAACTTATTGGCACATTTTGGATTCAGCACCAAAAATAAGAAAGCTCCACAGATTGGACCAAATTATACAGATTGTGGTGCATGTTCATCATCTTGCATTAACAAGTTTTAAATACATTCCTCTTGCAAAATTCTCTCACATGCAGCCATAATGAAATTGTTTGCTCTACAGTTAAGCAGCACAGAATAGCTGTTAAAATTACAGAGAATAAATCAAAATCCCTCAGTAAAAGATTAAATGAACAAGAATTCAAGTGCAGCAACTGTAAGGGATTTCATTAATCAAGCTGCTGGTAAGCAGGGCTAAAAAGAAATGCCATTGCTATCAATATTATTCCTTCACTAATATGGCTCTTACATGTCTTTACAGAACTGTAGCCTCTTTAAAAAGAATGAAAATGTCTCTTAAATGCTGCTGAAATTCCGAGCTGCTGCAATATTTATAAATCCCGAATTCACACGGCACTGGAGAAAAGTGCAGAGGGTTTCAGGAATACCTCACCAAAAGCTGGCATTCCTCATAGAGAGCAATCTTTTGGCTTCTGAGGTATGTCCCAATGCTTTTGATGTCCTGGAGCACTGCACTGGGTCTGGATTTTGCCTGTGTGGGGTTCACATCTTCCATCCACTTGAAAAACGAGCACTGCTCAGCTTTCGGGGCGTCACAGGCGTAGAACAAACGACCCTGGAAAGGAGAAGGGGGGGAAAGAACAGAGCATGAGCACTAAAACAAGCAAGAAAAAAAGGGGAAAAAAAAGGACCAGCACTTTCACCCCTAAACTGTAAAAACACAGGGAATAAACAGCACCTTGTTATGACCTTCTTTTTTAACCATAACCAGCTTAGCAGGGTGCATGTGGTTGCAGAGTGGAGCACAGCTTCCCTGGCTTTGCCCATCTTTCACTGATGTGTAAAATGATATGTCCACTTTGGAGAGAGCATTGTGCAATCTTTGGGACAGCTCAAACAGCATTATGTTCAGTTGCTCTTGAGAGACAAAGGAAAAAAATAAAGGAATTATTAGTACAGCCTTAAAAATGCTTACGCAGGCACAAGACGCTCAAGCAAATATATTTTCATTTGAAGATTTCAATCCTAAATCAAAATATTTAATCTGAGTCCTAAAAGAAACCACAAAATCCATGTATTGCAGGGAAAAAAAGAGAAAAGCTTGGGAATGTAAAGAGTGGAAAACAGGCACGAGGTTACATAGTTGAACAGAAGTGTGCTGTTCTTTTGGTTTGTTTTTGCAATTTTGGGCATAGATTGAATATATATAAAAAAGTCAAATGCAGCCAGTTCTAATGGGTGATGTTGAGGATTTCTGTCCCTCTTATCCTGCCTGGTGAAGCTTCAGAAATACCCTGTTTAAAAATGACAGCCTTGTACACAACACGGTGTCAGACTTACCTGTCAGAGCAGCTTTAAAAATCTGTTTGTAGTGAAGATGAGACCGAAACACAGCTGGGATGGAGATCTTTCTTTTAGGGAGACTAGCATGTTTCACTTTGTCCACGTTAGGAAAAGACAACTCAGAAATTGTTACGTCCTAAAAAGACCCAGAAAAGGAAACCATTAAAACTTGCAAGACCCTGAAGGAGAAAAATAACTTATCCCTAAAGCTTGGGCTGCCTAATTTAGGATGCAACATGAGGTTAAAATTTGTCCCTGCATTTATAGTAATGCTTCCAAAGGCTGTAAATTATGTAAGTTATGTCACTGAAAATTATGTTTTTCAGTGCTAGGGGAAGGAGCACACAACCCCCATTAATCAGATGAAAATATAGCAAAGGTAGAACAAGGCTAGGGAAGGCAGAACCACACACACACATATATATATATATACCTACACACACACACATATATATGTATATGTGGTATCAGTGTTTATTCAGTGCCATTAACTTACTTTTCCACAGTTAAAACTGAAAAAATGTGTAGTATTTTAAAATCAGTGACTGCGCCTTGAAGCAAGGTGTTCTTCGAAACAACGTTGACTTTCAAATTTAGAAAAACCCTTCTTGAAAACACATTCTTACCAATTACAGGTGACCAAACAGCCCAACAGTTTTTATTTCATCTTCCTGCCATCAACATTCTGGTTACAAACCTAAATCTGGCACCGTGCGTGCCCAGGAATTACCTTTACAAACAGTTGGTCGAGCAGCTGCTGTCCTGCAGCTGAGACTCTTTTTTTTTGTTTTGCTACATAGGTAGAAACATTTCACCCCATTGCAACTGATACTATCTTGCAGGAAATCAAAGAAATGCAGTTCCTTTGGCTGGAAAAATGTGTTTCTGCCACCTAGACCTGTATTTGCTTGAACAGTTACACACCTGGCCCTCTCCTGTTCCGGCGTGGCAGCTCAGGTGACTCAACACCTTTTGTGTTGCCGCAGCCAAAGGTGTCCGACTTAAGTGCAGGGAAAGTAACTTCCCTTCAGAAATCCAATCCTGGGGAGGGGTGCTGCTTGCAGGACATTCCCCAGGGGAGCTCTTGGATGTCAGCAGAGGGGCAGCACCGGGAGCACTTTGATTCCCAGTGCTTTGATTCCCGGCTCCGCTCTCTCCCGTGTCACCCCGCAGCATTCCAAGGATGCTCTGGGCACAGATGTCATCAGTCTCTTCCCTGTCAGGGCTCAAGTCACTCTGAGCACTGTTTTGATACTTCAGCCACTTGCTTTGTCTGTGTTGGGAAGTCAAGTCAGGGAGCAGGGGTTGGACAGATTCCCTTTGTCCGTCTTCCGCGTACTCCCCAAACACAGAGGTCTCATAATTCCTGTCCTGGGGGCCACGAGCACTCCGAGGAAATTCCATTGGCTGGATGCATAAATTGCCTCCTGGAGAGCCCCAGGATTGCTGGAGCTCCTCGCTGTCAGTGGGATAAACCACGGCAGGAATCCCCTCGGTGGCAGGAAGGGTGACAAACGGAGTCCGGGTTTTAACGGTGGGTTTGGATCTCTGGAGCCTGCACTCCTCTGGATAGCTGGATTTCTCCCCTGCTGTAGGGCAAAGACATCTTACAAGCAACTTGTAGCACTTAGGGATGGCACTTCAGATGTACAGAAAAGAATTTCAAGTTCTTCCTTTCGCATCCTGTCTTTTAACTGGGAAGCTCCCTGGATCATGCCTGGGCAGTACCACACTAAATTTCCATACACCACGACAGATTTGGTGTGATTCTTTCAATTAATTTTAATTCTTTTAAATCCCCATATTCAGAAAACATTCTATAGCCACTCTACTTGTATAAAAGACAATTATTTAAACGTGGTTGTGTTTTGGAGGCCATTAATCTGATAGTTTTGGTAGGTCACCGACAGATGCCAACTGGAAAACGCCCAGCTTAACACTTGTTCCTTTTTCCAGAAAGATCACCCCCAAAACCTGTGAATTAATACTAAATAACGTAGATAAGGAAGCTTTTAGTACCAAAAAGCATCCTTTGGACTAAATTCATTATCAACAGTGACAGTCATTGATAGGTGCCAGCTGAAAGTGGGTCAGAGAACAGCTGAATATGGAAGAAAACTAAAAGCAGTTAAATAAAAACATAAATATGACTTAGAAGCTTAGCTGACAGCCTTTACTTCCCCCCAACCTAGAAGCTGATTTTTTCTCTATAAAACTAAATCACTCCACCGAGGTCTCTTTCAGGAGAATAGAATTGGCAGAGTAATTGTCATGGCACAACTCGCTGTGCTTCAAAAATCCTCAGGGATTTTCCAGCTAAAATACTGTAAGAGTGCAATTATAAACTGTAATGTCTTACTGAAAAAAAAATCTGGGAGTTCTGGTTCACTTGGTAAGATCCCTTGTATCAGGGGCTCCTGGATTTCTCCAGTAGTTTCCTCATTTTCTGAAGGTGGAGAAGTTGTAGAATCTGGATCAAATGAGGAAGTCAGTTCTGATGAAATCTACAGGTGAAGAATTAATATGTTAGATGAATGACTGGAAAAAACCCCTTGATTATAGCTCTTTTATCACTGTTCTCTCTCTCATCATTCTAAACAATTGAAATGTGTCTCACAGTCGAGATAAAAGAGCTTCAAAAATAAGAAATTGCCACGAACGCCCAGGAAATAAAGCCAAAAATATCTAGAAAAGACAGTCAGTCCACACCTTGCCAGGTTCCCAGGAAGTCCACTGTGCTTGTCTCAGAGCAGAATGTGAAGGTAAGCCTGACACTGTCCATGCTGGCACTTCAGGATACACATGGAATGCCAGTGCTAGGAAAAACACGTGAAGGACAGAAGTCAGGCAGGAATTTTGAGGCCAATTGCTGCCTTTTAACTTTTACTTCCACTTACGAGACTGATTTCTTCTTGGCTCTTCAGTCACATCAGACTCCATTTGAAAATTCCCTTCTCTGATAACATCCATATCATCCCCATGAAGACTTCTGGAACCTGGAGACTTTACCAAAAAAAAAAAAAGGATTAGCAAAAACTTGCTAGAAATTCAACTGCTTCTCTTCTGTTTTTCAGAGTGGAATTGATCAGAGAAGAAAAAAACCAATGTTTTACCTGTCTGAAGTCAGAAAGGCCATAATTGCTTGAAAACAGGGGTGACAAAAATGTCTCAGTTGCAAAGTCCATGTTATGGGGGTACTGCTGCCATCCCAGCTGGGAGCAGGGAACTCTCACCATGACCTCACTAGCTGCTGATCCCTTTACTTGGTGCCCTTGGAATGCAACAGGCTACACAACACATTGGAATCATCACTAACTGGAATAAATATCGCTCTGGAACTATCTACAGTCACTAAAGGTACTCTTCAATACATGCAACAAAAATAATCTCTTGGAAACTAGAAGAGAAACACACACACACACAAAAAAAAATCTGTTTTTTCCTCATAATTTCAGTTTAAAACTCTCCCTGGAAAATTTCCCACAGATAAATATAGTAAAAAATTATGAGAAGCCCATTATGAGCCATTAAAATTTTATTAGGACTCACTGTAATAGATTACAAATAGTAAACCATTTCATTGCCATCTAAGGAACACTGTTCATTATGCTTCAGTTCCACAGGAATTGTACCTTTGGTTGCCAGTCACATGTCCCAGGGGCTCTTTGGGCTGCTGCTACTGGTAGAATACATGGCTCTGTCTTCTGTAATAAACTGTCCACAGAGCTGGGCTGCACAGAAAAAGTACCAAAACCTAATCAGCCTAACAATGTAATAACCATTTCAAGTGAAAATACAAGCTAAGGAATCTCTTGTATTTACACAAAAGAAGCATTTCAATTACAGCCTTTTTATTTGGAAGCCAGGACAATGCAGGACAGGATAAAAAAACTTGTGTTTGCCTAAAATCTTTAAGCTTTGGGTGGACTGAAAGAAAAGGACTATTACTGTGTGAAGTATCAACCACAAACAGATTTCCCAATATATTTCAACCCAAGTGCTAAAATTCCTAGGAATTGACTGGTAGGGAAGGAGAAGTACCAGACATATTAATGTGATGTTAAACATAACTAAATATTACCATTTGCATTAAGTTTCTTGTTATACAAGAGGCCTCCTGAATATTTATTGGCAAGAGGACTTCCTCTGTTTATTACCAGCTTCATAATCAATACCAAGAATTTTATTCCTGGTAGGAAATGAATTTATCTTGTACAGATAAATATATGTAGTCAAAAATGGGTTACCATAAGGCCAGAAGAATCAAAGTATGAACAGGAAGGTGCCTGTAAACTTTCTGAGTAAGGCATTTCTGTAAACTCTTTTACAGCTACAAGAGATGGAAAAGCATAATGAGTTACAGATAAAAGTTGGGGTTTTTAATGTGAAAACATCTGAATATTTACTGGGCTTACAAACCCAACCCATGCAATGAGTTGCACAGTTAGGATTTAACTGAACTAAAGACACAGAGCTCACAATGTTGCTTTAAACACTAAAAACTGCATGAGGGAACCTATAGAACACATCACTCAAAAAAGAAGATTTCTGAACACGAATTGTCCAAGAGAGACAAGAGTACAGAGGTCAAACAGATACAGACACACAGAATTCACTTTACAGCAGAAGCTGACCTAACCTTCATCTTTCCCAAGGGGTTCAAATGTCTCCTGGGAAGTCTCTGTCTCACAGAACACGCTGTCATTTTCCTCCATCTTTTGCAAGCTTTCTAAAGCTGTGCTGTGTTGAGTCAAAGCCCTCAGAAGAGCAATATCATTCACGAAAGCAGGGAGATCTGAGGAGTTTTCAGCCCCTCCTCTTTCACCTCTGCAGGCTGCAGGAGGGGTGTTTATGCTCTCTGAGTTTTCAAACTCTGTTTCCTCTGGAGATGAATGGCCTGTTCCTAAAGGATGCACAGAACTTGTGGAAAGGAGAGCATCTTCCTTGTGTGACGTGCCAAATACCTGTTCATGGTCTTCTGCAATATATTGGGATGAGCCACTGCCAAGAGCTGATTTTGGTGACAAAGCCAGCAAAGGACTGCCTGGTTTAATGCCATCACTCCTACTCCCCCAGAAGTGTTCTGAGCCAACCTCTGGGGATTCCCTGCATCCAAGCTCTGTGACACCTTCTTCATCCGTGGCAGAAATGATTCTGCTGGGAGAAACACCTGAAATACTTCCAGTTGCCTCAAACAGACTGGTTTCAGGGTGACATTCCTTAACATTTGTGTCCCCAGGCATAGGATCAGAGTGCTGGTTTCTTATCTGTGGTGTGCCATTAATGGTGAGTGCTGCACAGCCAGCATGATCCTCTTTATTGCTTGTGGCTTCAAGACTTAATTGACTTGCATTCATCTCTTTTACGTTGTGTCCACCACCCAAAAGTTCCACTTCAGTTCTGCTCTGGCTTGCAGGGTCTTCTGCCACCCTCCTGGGATCTCTGACACTGGTTTCACAAAGCTCAGACAAAACACCCCCAGTGCAGTCACTTCCATCATTCTCTCTGTCAAATGTTGAACATTTGGCTTCGTTTTTGCTGTGTGTCACCCCTTCACAGCGGGAATGAGGTCTCAGCACAGCATTTGGAGCTACATCCCCTCCCTCAGAGCAATCTGGGCTCTCTGACAGTGTGTCTCCCTCAGTGGGCTTCTTCACATCTCTTTCACACTCTTCTTCACTGTCTGTGTCATTAAAATCAAAAGACTCCATTAGATTAAAGTTAACCTCCATCAGTTCTTCATCTGGACTACACCCTTTGCCATGCCAACTTAACTCCTCCTTAACACTTCCAGCTTCAGTCAGTGTTAGATCCCCAGAGAGCTCCAGGTCACTGGGCACCCCCTCTGAATTTTGTCCTGGCTGAAGCTCGCTCTGCATCTTCACAGACGAATTCTCCCTAAGATCCTTAGTCCCTGACTGCTCCCTGTATCCAAAAGAATTGTTTTCAAAGGTGACTGGACTTGCTGAAGGTGAAATGTCACCTGAGGACGGGACAAACTGGCTGTCACTCATTCCACTTATGGTGGACTCAGGTAGGAAGCAACTACTTGTGTTGCAGGGATCCTGCAAATCTTGACTTAAATTATTTACCTTTTTGTCGTGTCTCTGTCCTGTGGCTTCTTCAGCATAAGGCTGTTCAGGGGAATTCAGAGGCATTTCAGCATTCCAGTCCTTCTTATCATTTCCAGTTCCCTTCCTGAAAGGCAGGTGCTGAGTGTTTGGAACGATTCCTCTGGCAGGATCACCTGGAAATGCAGGTAGGGCCGTGCTTTTTTGGTCACATAAATCTGCATTTTTTGATGCCTGAAACCTGGAGAGACTTTCTGTAAGTGCAGCTGTTTGTTCTCCGTGTCCTTGTGCTGGTTTGGACTTCAGAAGAGCAATGATCTGTGCCGTGCTCCTGATGTTGTGGGACACCGCCCCGGGACCAGTTTGCCCAGTAAGGAGAGGAGATTCTGGCTTCACCAGGAACTGAGCAGAGCTTTGCTTCTCTGTCCCCTCACATCTGTCAAGAAATGGAGCTGAAAGCAGCGAGGAGACAGACACGTGGTCTCTGTCATTATCCCTACATCCATCTTCCTGGAAGCCTGCAGAGAGATTTGTGTCCGCATCCTCCTTGCGAACCGTGGAAAATAACGGAGAGGTGACATAAAACTGGGATGGAAAAGTCCCCTGGCACTGCTTAGATGAAGGCAACAGTGTTGGTTTTTCCTCCTCTTCCACGGCTGGTATTTTCTTTGCAACTTGGCGTGGCCCTTGGAACCCCTGGGAAATTTAAAATCAATGATTTAAAATCCACGTTGCGCGATCAAACGTTGAACAACCGACATAAAAATCTGAAACAAAAGCACACCGTAAACTTCCTCTTCAGGCCAACAGGGAGGCGTCTTGGAGGCAGAAGACCAGGTCTGACACCATTTCTATCCACTGCTGGAGTTTCTTCTGCTCTCCTTGGCTGATCTTCCAGAGGTTTCTCACTCGCTTTTGCTGCTTCGACCGTGATCAAGTATCGGTCGCTTTCTAAATTATCTCCAGCAGCCACCTAGGAAGGAGGGAGCAGCAGGGTGCACATAATAGTGCCATGTAAGAGAGAATAACTTACAGATTTATTTTAAATAAATAGTCTTTTAAGTGCTTAGATGTAAAAAATTCAGATATTTAGACCCAGCATATCACAGATGCCATATAAAGAAATAAATATATATATATGTAGAGTAGAAAGCATCAGCACTTATCTTCAAGTTATGCTTATTTATTATGTCCCTGTAATAACACTGCTTTTACCCCAAAGGAATAAAATTCCATAAAACCTTCTGGACAAACAATAAGACTTGTCAATAAGAAGCAGCTGTTTTCCCTTTTCATTATTTCCACTGTAGCAGAGCTTTATATCCACGACAAGAAAAATGGCTCTTTTAGTTACCAACCCAGTGTTTGAAGCTCTGCCTGAAACACGAAGCACAATCAGGCACTCAGATAACAACTCCAAACAAACTGTACCTGAGATTTTATAAAAATACTCTCCAGGCATTGTCCTTTGTCATCAAACAAGGTGGCCTGCAATGAAAAAACGGGATTTTAAATAACCAGTTATTTCACAGAGCCACTAGACTGGCACTGGCAGTCCAGCAGTACCAGATGGGATTAAATCCAAGAGTATTAAATCCGAGTTTTCACCTGATTTCTGCCAGTTCTAATCCTCAGAACTCCATCTTGCCACGTTTTTGCTTTTTTTGTCTTTTGGTGAGTGTATAATACCTGTTTTAAATGTGCAAAGTGTTGGAGAAATAAGAAGATATTTGAATAATACAGCGGCTTTAATTTATTTTAATTTATTGCTAATAATAATAGTACACAGTGTTAAAAACCACTTACAGTAAATTCTTGAGAGGTCATTGCTTTTTCAAAACAGCAATTTATTTCACAAACATCCACATCTTCACACAGCCTGAGAGGCGGGGAAATGGTCAGAATTCACCAGAGCTGTGAAGGAAATGTATGGACAAAGAATTACATGTCAGTTCACTTCTGTTTTCCCCTCAAAAGAACTTTTCTTGCAGAAAAAAAACAAAAACAAGAAACACACACAAAAAACCCCAAAACAACAACAACAACAAAACAAACAAAACAAAAAAAAAATACCCCAGAAGCTGTTACCAGAATAATTTTGTGCCAGGTGTGGAGCTGGCCATGCATGTTCAACTCATGTAAAACATGAATTATATTTAAAACACAACTGACTGCAGACCAGCCACCCGTGAAGCCAAACCTCTTCATGTATTTAACGTTAGACCGCAATAACACTTAAAACAAAGTTCAAAATAGCCTCTGGATGAGTGAGGAACAGTTTATATGAAGAAAGGGGGAAAGATTCCTGCCGTTTCTTGTGGTTGCCACCTCCTCGGTTGCTTAATGAGCTGAAAATCCATGGAAGTGGACATCCTTGGAGGACACGAAGTTACCACCTTTAAAGCCGCTGGATGGACGCGAACCCTTCCAGTGACTCCAGGCGGGATGCCGCGGGAGCAGGGACGTGCAAAACAAACCAACCCACCGCCTCCTTTTCCAGCCCCTTCGTCCAGCAGCATTCCCGTCAGCGCCAAGGGGGGATTCCATTGCCCGAGGGACCGCGACCCCCCCCCCCCCCACCCCTTCCGCCGGTGACACCGCGATCCTACCCAGCGACCAGGATTCAGGACCGGAATCAGGACCAGGATCGGAATCAGGCTCGGGATCGGGATTGGGATGGGAATTAGGAGCGGGATGAGGATCCCGGTGGCAGCCGCCGCCCTCTCGAATTTCCCGCCGCGGCGCCCCGCGTGACGTCACAGCTGCGCGCCGCCCGGCGGGGGAGGAAGTCACGTGTGCGCGGGGCCGGGTGCGCCCCCCGCCGCTGCCGCCGTGCACGCGCGGGCGCCGCCGCGGGGCTTTTCATCCCTTAAAAGGGGGAGAGGGGGGTGGCGGGGGAAGCCGGGACTGACGGGGATAACGGCCGTGGAGGAGCCGCGGGCGGGGCGGGCCGAGCCAGTGTCTTCGCGGCGGTGGTGGTGGTGGTGGCGGCGACGGCAGGTCAGTGACTTGGGAGCGAGGCGCGAGCGTCTGGGTGGTGCCGACGGCAGCTCAGTGACTTGGGAACGGGGTGCGGGGCTGTGGGTGGTGGTGGTGGCGGCGACAGGGGGCGCTGTCGCCTCCCTTCGCGCGTTTCCCGCCGCTCGCGCGCTGCCCCCTCCCCTCGCGCTCCCCTCGCGGCGGGGGCGGGGGGGGACGGTCGGTCCCCTCAGGCGATGGCGGGCGGGCGCCCTTCCCCTCAGCGCAGCGCCGCTCTGACCCCCGACCTGCCCTCACCTGCGGCGCCGCCCGCCCCTGGGCATCCTGTTCTCCTGGTGTCCCGCTTTTCCCGGCGCCCGTTCCTCGCTGCTCCTGTCCTTAGGGCTCCTCACTCCCCCTTGTCCCCTCGGAGTCGCCCCGGAGTGCTGAGGTGGCTTCGCCCTGAGGCGACGCGCGGGTGACTCTTGGAGTCGAGCCTCATGTTGGAGGAGAGGATCCTGTGTTGAGAGGTGGGGGGGCGTGAGCAATAACGCTTTGGGTTAGTCTGCGAGTAATTTTATGAGCAGCGCCTGCCAATCCCTTTGCTTGGTGCCCTTGGAAAAGCAACAGGCTACACAGTACATTGGAATTATCACTGACTGGAGCTATCACTTAACTGCAGTGCCAAATGTGTGGTGGTTGTACCTGAGCACAAGCACGATTTAGCCAAGTTGCTGTGCTGGCCAGTATAAGTTAGGGCTAGAAAAATCTGTTTCCCCTTTCTTTGAAGGGTAAAGAAGATGAGGTTCTCCTACAGATATCCATTGCTTCTGGTAGAATGCAGATGTAAAAACGGCAGCAGAATGCCTGGCTTTTGTATCCACCTCCATCCCGATTCCAGCTGCTTATTCCTGCTGCTTCCGTTCTCCACCTCTGCTGCTTGCTCACCTCTTTAATTGGTTGGTTTTCCCCAGTGGGGAAAGACCAGAATTTAGTTTTTAGGTCACAGAATTCACCTGAGTTACCAGAGGGTGAGAACTGTGTAGTGACTAAGGCGAGGGAGCTGGGCTGCCTTCCTTGGTGTCATACAGGTAAATCCACCTATTCCTAACTTGGTGCTGAGGGCCTGTATTTTAATTATAATCACAGAATCATTTAGGTTGGGAAAGACCTCTGAGATCATCGAGTCTGACCTTTCACCAGTCACCACCTTATCAACTAGACCAGAGCACTGAGTACCATGTCCAGTCACTTCCTGAACACAGATAAATCCACTTTCCACCCCTTATGATGGTGGAAGGCAGGACTGGCACAGAGGGGTTTGGAAACAGCCTTAACACTTGTCCCTGTGAGGTAGAAGCAAAGCCTTTTCTGTTAGTGAGCACAGAGTTTTCATTAAATCTGTTAAACACCTTATATGTAGTTCTAAAATGATGAATTGGTTTTGTTGCTTAAAATGGAGGATGAGCAGGAGCTCCAGTGTTTTTAGGTGAAGACATTTGTGCTGGTCCCCATGTATTTATCTCCTCTCCTGTTAAAAGGCGGGGTAGAAATTTCATTGCTGCAGCTCTGCCTGTGTCTACATTGCTGTGAAAATATCCCAGGATGTGTCTCTTTTTAAGTAGCTTCAGGTTTGCTGAATACTTGCATTTATTCTGCAGTAAATGCCCAGAAGGACAAGTGTTGCCCCTGACCATATAGAAACACTTTCCAAGTTTATAAAGTATTTTCAACTACTGTTTTTCATCCCCCAACTTCACCTGCCCCATTTTGCTACTTAAAATGCCCAGAGCCAATAAGCATTTGCATTAGTGCTTAAAAGAATAAAGTGTGTTTTATATCTGCACCCTGCTTCTTACAGACCTTGGAATACAGTCGAAGTTTACTATGTTTTCTAGATGTTGATAGTGATAGAAGTTGGGTTTCAAAGACAGGTTAGCACTGACATGTTTAATGCTTGCTTTTTAAAGAGCATAGATAAGCGTCTGTAAATATATGTGAAGTAGAATTATTTTTGATTACATTATCTTTGCTTTCCTGGAGTTCCTTCCCCCTGCTTTTCCTTCTTTCACTCTGGGATATAGAGGCACTGAGGTTTTATTTCACTTGAGGAGGTGCTTTGCTTTATCAGGGTGAAGTTTTGACGCTGCTTTTGCTTTCTTCTGACTTTAGTGGCTTATCAGAACAGTGCTGCCACTGTGAGAGCTGCCAAGTGAAAAATCCAAACTGCCCCGGACCTTGGCATATGGTGATTGCCACGTTAATTACTTGAGTTTCTGTACAGATTCAGAGCTGGCATTTACTCTTGACTCTGTGTTTTGAGTATGATTTTATGTTTTTAAGTCCCAAAGTAATTCTCTCCAAGCTTCACTTCCTAAAGCACCAAGTGAGGGGGAAGCCCAGAACGTGGCCTGCAGCTGTTTTTCTTTTAAGCCCGAATGAGAACCTCTCTCCTGGGAGGGAATGACTCAAAATGCTTCTCCAAACCAGTCTCTGCTGTAGGTGAGCCACACTCCTGTTGATGTGGTCACTTCATGCTGTTCAACCACTTCAAATCTCCCACAATGCTGCTTTACCTTGGTGATGCACCTCCCTGTAACCCTCAGCTGAGCGACCTGCTGGTTATTAATATAAAAAACTTGCTCAAGGGCTTGAGTGGAGCTTGAACTTGCTTAGCTGGGAGATTTTACCTGGCTTATCTTTGCGAGGTAATTGCTGACCTTTCACTACCTGGAGCTCCCAGCGGGGGGAGAGAAGCCGATCTCCGGGCTGAGGAAGCCTGATTTGCACAATAATTTGGAGACCATTTCCATCTCACCAGCCTGTTGTCGAGGTGGGCTTTTTCTCCCCGATGGCCCTGCTCACTGTTTCCTTCGGGGCTGCCTTGGCACAGAGCTGACAAGTCTTTTCATATGGTGATTGTGACATTAATTACTCGAATTTTTGTGTTAATTTAATTTTCCAAAACCTGTCTGCTCCTGGCAGCTTGGTTTTTTTGGGTTTGTGGGGGGTTTTCCCTGTGGTTGTTTTTTGGGGTTTGTTTTTTTTTTTGCACTTGTGAAATGAGGTACTGAAATGGTGACTGGCAGTTTTCAGCCACAGGAACTGAAATGTGAACAAACCAGGTTAATGAATGCATTAAAGAGGTTTTATATGTTCAAAAGTAAACCTGTACATTAAATCACTTCCTTATAATTAGTCTTGAATTTCTAGGGCCCTGATTCTGAGCTTCTGACAGACTTTGGTTTGCCATTAAAATCAGACACTACTGAATTACTCCCCTTGGCACTTTTGACATAATAAAGCCAGTTTTCTAAAAGAAACCTGACTATTAGCAGACCTGCTATAAATACCAGCAATCCCTCCTTTCTAGATTTAGTTTTTGTAGGTTCTCTTTGGCAAGTATCTTGTTTTTCTGCAGAAGATAAACCCAGAATGCCAACTTCTTGAAATAAGACTATTTCGAGTTTTTTGTTGGGGTTTTGTTTGTTTGTTTGTTTGTTTTCTAATATTATCTTTACCTTTCATTTGACAGGATGACAGGAATGGAGACTGAAACAGGGAGAGACAAAGCCATGGAAGAAGAGAGCACTGAACAGAAAAAGGAGAGGGAGAAGAAGAAGAGGTCAAGGGTTAAACAGGTGCTGGCAGATATAGCCAAGCAAGTGGATTTCTGGTTTGGGGATGTAAATCTCCACAAAGACAGATTTCTCCGAGAACAGATAGAGAAGTCCAGAGATGGGTGTAAGTTTATATTCAGTATATTTCAGCTAACATTTATGTTTCCCTTTTTTTTCCATCCCTACATTTTAAGTTATTTCAAGGTGCACGTGTGCTCCTGAGGGAAGGCAGTAGTTCCGTGCTGAAAATGGGCCTCAACAACTCAGGAATCAGAGCTGGATACTGGGTTTTTAAAATTGTTCAGTGCCTTTTTCCCTTTCCTTTAGAATCAGCCCTAAGTTAGAGGCATCTGCCAGGTGGAAATGACTGTTTGGGAGACCTGATTTTTCTCTTTGTATAATTTTAAGAATAAACAAACAAGGCTCATTTTGCTCTTGGAGGTGACGTGTCTGCTGGGGTAGAGATGTGCAGAAATTAAAATGTCACTTGAATGTGTGTTTTCTGTACGAGTTTGATACATAAGAAACTGTCTATCTGCCTGCAGGGCTCCTGTGAGTGTTTCCTTTAGACAGTTTTTCCACGTGGTTGATTTGTGACTTCAGAGTAGGAAACTGAGCTTGGACCTGAAGTTATTTTCCAAATTCTGAAGAAATGAATTTGTGCATTAGCTGCAGTGGCTGATGTGTCTTTTCTGTAAAAATCAGTACAATGTGTGGTAAATTGCCTCTCAGGATAATTGTTAAATCATGTGTTACATCAAGTGGGCTCACAGTGCAGTATGTCTGGAAAAAGAGGTGATACTTTTCCATCAAAACAAAAATAAACAGGGTTTTTTAAAAGTGTTTACTTATTTTTTTCTAAGGAGTCTGTTCAATTTCGATGTAAATCATTAATCCAGTTGTGTTATGTAGGGAATGTACCTTTCTATGTGCTTGCTATAATCTTCAATTATATTGACCTTAAAGCCAGTTTGTTTTTTTAAAAAAAAAACCAACAACAAAACTTCAACTTTAGGGAAAGTTTTATTTCTTGTCAGGCCCTTTTTAAAGGAAGCCCTTAAATAATTAATAGCATAATAAGTACATTTTATCCTACATTGTTTAGATATACTAGAGATGGGATGTCTAAATTTTTATTAAGACTAATACTGCTTAATTTTCTCTGAAGGTTTTTGCAGCCTGACTCGTTGCAAGTGCAGGCAGGGGCTCTTTGTGTGGGGTGAAACACTCAATTGAGGACTTGAAGGAGAGGCACGTTTTCAATGCAAATTGTTCTTGTCTTGTAAAACTGCATCAGAAAGGGAGGATTTCTTCCTTTCTCTTCAAAGACAACAGTTATCAGTGGGGAGGTGAAAGAACCAAATTCCTTTGATAAAGGGTAGCACCGAAGAAAACAGGAATCTGGGTGTACTTGAAACTTGAATTTTGATGGTGAAAATCGTCTGAGTAGAAAACATTACCCTGATTTCATAATTTTTACACCTTGGTTCTCTCTCTTTTTTTTTTTCCTTTAGATGTTGACATATCACTTCTTGTTTCTTTCAACAAGATGAAAAAATTAACTACTGATGGGAAGCTGATCGCTCGGGCAGTTAAAAGCTCCTCTGTTGTGGAGGTATTTAACTTTTCACATCTTAAAGGTTTTAACGTTTCTGTGTTTGCTGAGGTGCTGGAAGAACAGCGGTAGAGGTGCTGAAGTCGGCAATAATCTGATGGAAAAAATGCTTGTTTCTCCTTCCTTTTAGCTGGACTTGGAAGGAACCAGAATCAGAAGACGCCAACCACTGGGTGAGAGGCCAAAGGATGTGGACAGTCGGACTGTCTATGTGGTAAGGGTGTCCCTCAGGTGCCTCTTATCAACTCTTTAATTGAAATAAATTAAACTAAGAGTGCAAAAATAGATATAGTATTGTAAACTGGGCAGGGGCTGCTGCTCGTGCAGCCCTATGTAAATCAAATTTGAATTCAGTAAGTACAGAACTGTAAGTGATTGTGGCAAGGAAGGGGCTGGTTTGGTCCATGGATTTCTTAAAATCATTTTAAATGCTGAGCCAAGGGCTGCTTCACCTGCTGGTGAGAAAAGGCACAATTTGATTGAGCTATTGCTGTGTTCACAGGGCATTTTCTTGTAAATGCCATTAGAGGAACACCGGTGGCACCAAGGAAGATTCACTAATTACATTAATGTAGTTAAAGCTTTGTGGTAACAACTTAATTAGTTTCATCAAGCAGGCTCTGGCTGAGTTTGCAAGTTCATCAGGGGTACTTCAAAAAGTACAACCTGTTTATAAGACCTGTTACTTCAAGTGCCTCTGGTTTTGTAACACACAAACATCATTCTTTTAAAGGCACAATATACCTAAACTTTTTTTTTTTCCTTACAATCCTCCTAATTAATTTTTTGCTTAAGTCCTCTTATTAGCATGCTGTCCTATGGCTACTTTCCTGGAGTGATTCCTTAATTTAACTGAAAACAGCTTGTGCTGATGAGAGAAGTCTGTATCACTGTGGCATTTCAGATGTGTCAGCTTTATCAGATTGTTGAGCACTGGTAGCTTGGAAAAAAATCTGATGGTTGAACTGTTGCACGTTAAAACCTTTTTTTAAATAGTAAAGCATTTTTTTAAATAGTAAAGCAATTTTTTTCATGTTGAATATATATATATTTTTTTTTTTTTTTTTTTTAAATATTGATATCGAAGCCAGTGTGGAATTTCCATTTATCTCTTCAAGAAAGCTTTTTGTGACTAGGAACCTGTAGCTGGTAACAGCTGCATTAGTAATTCCTAGCATGGGATAGACACACAATAATCATGGCCAAAACACCAGCCCAGCCAGATAAGGAGAAACCCAATTGCTCTGATCGTTCCTCCTTTAACAAAAGCCCAGAAAAAGGTGGTTGGGTTTTGTTTGTGCAAATACGACGTGCCAGACATAATATTTTCCCAACGTGATTACAGGGACTGCTTTGAACTTCTCCAACACTTTGTCTTGTATCATTTTTTGGATAAGATACTGTAAAAGGCATGAGCTGCGTTGTCTGTACACGGCTCAAATGTGTGGCCAAATGTTTGGTAAATAGCTGGGATGTGGCAATGGGGACAACAGAAGTGCTGCTAAGTTAAATTTTTCTGAAATAACCTGCCTTTTTTTTTTTTTTATATGCTTTAACATAAACATTTACTATTACTTTGAACTCATCCCATAATATTTTTAAAGCTTCAAGTAACTGGCTTTTCAACTTCAGACCAAACAATAATGAAATGTTTCCCTGACGGACCAAGTTAATGGAAATGCAATTTTTCTACCTCAATGTGACAAATGTTTCTCTACAAGGAAAACCTTTTAGTGCAGTAACTTGCCATGGAAAAAAAAAAAAAAATGTAGTGCTGACTCTCTGTTGTTTAGGCAAGAATTTGACAGTGGGATTTTTAAAGTGTTCAGTTGGGTCTTGTTAGAAATTGGTATGACAAGAGAGTGGAAAAGTGGAACTCAAGACATGATGTCTGCAAGCTGCTGAAATGTGTTGCTGTATTAAGGATTTTATAGAAATAAAAATCAGACAGTTTTGCCATCCAAGAAGCTGCCTGAAAGCTTCTGTCACAAGTGCTGACTGCTATATTTGAAAATGGCAGCTTGCAGCAGGAATTCAGCAGCAGTGACTCTGCACTGACCTGCAAGAACTCTTTTCTGGGATACCTGCATTGCCAGCAATTAATAAAAAATAAAAATAAAACAGTCATTGTGCTTTGCAGTGGGTAGTTTGAGGCAGTGCAGACCTGTGTTTGCTCCAAAGTTTTAAATTTACCAGGATGTAAGATTTTTCATGTTGCAAAGATACACCTGCAGGTGAGGTCTTGGTGTCTCTCACAGGAAGAAGATGAACATCTAAATCAAGTATGAATTTGTTCTCAGATCACTTCCCTATTATCTTTTTTGCCCTTTTTTTTTTTTTTAGGAGCTGCTTCCCAAAAATGTCAATCACAGTTGGATCGAGAGGGTGTTTGGCAAGTGTGGGAACGTGGTTTATGTCAGTATCCCCCGGTACAAAACCACTGGGGACCCAAAGGGCTTTGCTTTTGTGGAATTTGAAACTAAAGAGCAAGCAGAGAAAGCTATTGAGGTGAGTGCTGGTGCCTCTGCCCTGTCAACATTGTTCTTACTGTCACTGTGACATGAATAGTTTAGTCTTGATTAGTTCACCTGCTGAATCTTAGAGAAATTCCTAAAATGCCATGATTTATCAACTTCACTTACCAGGAGTTATGTTCCTGTCTCCTACCCCCAGACTTCCAATCAGTCTTTAAAAATTAACTCTATTAATAAACCTGGGACTTAACAGAAGCATAATAGGTTTTTGTTTTTTTTTTCAATAATTTGGTTGACCACACTTTGCTTCTCTTACTGAAATAGAGCTCAGTGTGTAACAGTTAGACAAGCACAGTCATGGCTAACTTTCTGTATTTCACTGTGGTTTGTAAGTATTTCTGTACTGGAATATGATTAGGACTGCTGGCTGTAACTTGGATGGAGAGTCTTTCAAAAACATAATTTTTAGCAATGGTTTGTTTTCATTTTCCTTTTTTTTTTTTTTTAAAGTTTTTGAATAATCCACCAGAAGAAGCGCCACGGAAACCTGGGATTTTCCCCAAAACAGTGAAGAATAAACCTGTTCCTACACTGAACACAAGTGACAGCACTGTAGTAGGTAAGTGTTTAAAGTTATTTGAATCAGTTTTGTGCCTCAGCTGCTGCAGAGAAGGTGGAACAGTTGCTCTTTCAGCAGGAGCACTCTGTAGAGGAATGAACTTCTTACAGCATCTCTGCTTTACCTCTTTGCATGATTCATGATTACTGGGGGGGGAAAAAAAGGGAGATAATGCTGAGAAAAGAATCCTGAATTGCCATCTGGGCATGGTTCCAATAAATACAATCTACTCTGTAACTTATAAAGCAGCTTTAGGGGATGATGTTGCAACCTTATCACTGAAACATTTTTCCTGCTTTCTGGTGGTGTAAAACACACAATTTCCCAGACTTGAGACACTGCCCATCTTTTTCATAAGCTTCATGATAAATATACCTCACAGTTATCACTATTTTTGTTACACTACTGTTACTGGGGGGAAAATTGCTTTGTTTTCAAACCATGCTTTCTTTACACCTGCTTTTTTTTTCCTCTTCTTAAAATGCCCAGGAAAAACTGAGGAATAATGTGTTACATCTCTCCCAGAGATGCCAGAGAGACATCTCAATTTACAACCCAGTTTGTTTTAACTTAAATTAATCTAATCTAGTGTCACCATGGGCACATATAAATATGGTATTTTTAACACAGAGGAGAAGAAAAAGAAGAAAAAAAAGAAATCCAAAATGAAGAAAGAGAGCAATGCACAGGCAGCTGCAGAGCCAAAGGAATCAAACACCAACACTACAATGGAGCCAACACCCAAACCAAAAAGACACAGGACTCCATCTGAGTGTTCTGAAATGGAGGGAACTGAGACTCCAAGGCAGCCCTCCAGGAGGGAGAAAAGGAAATGGGACAAAACAGAAAATTCAGAGGTAACTTGTGAAAGCAGGCCTGGGAAGAGAAAAAGAACCAGCTCAGGAGATGGGGAGACATCGGCTCCAAAAGTCAAGAAAACTGCTGAAAAGGATGAAGCTGAACCAGTAAAAGAAGAAACAACAGAAGCTCCAAAGGATTCCAATGGTAAAGGTTGTTGCCTCTGATATGTTGTCATTGTTCATTGATAAGTGGATATATTAGGTCATTTTAGGAGTGTGTGGTATTCCCTGCAGTTAAATTTAAACCTGGTGTGGAGCCTTCTCAAGGAGGAGCTGAATGGAGAATAGGGAAGAGCTTGCAACACCAAAGCAGGTAAATCTAATCAGAAGTAAAAATAGTTCAAAGAAGTTCATATCAATAAAGCTTGAGTTGAAAGTAAGTTAAAGAGTTTAACAGACAGCCTTGGAAAATTGAGACAGCACAGGACATAGATAAATATACATTAAAATACAAAAGGAAAATGCTGATGATCCCAGTTGGTTCTATGAGATAAGGAAAGCTGCATTGAAATCACGTGTAGTGGTGTGACAAACCTATAAAACATAGGTAATTGATGAACTGCACTGGAAACAGTCAATAGAAAAATACAGTTTTTTATTCAATGATTTTATTAGAACATATAATTTTAATTGTTTTTAACATTTTTTCTTCCGAACTTTTTTTGTGTAGAAGTTTCTGCAGAAGACGACAAAGATAAAAAAGACACATCTCTTTCCAAAGCTAAAAGGAAACACAAGAAGAAACACAAGGAAAGGCACAAAATGGAGGAAGAAGTCATCCCCCTCAGAGTGCTGTCCAAGTAGGTGACATAACTGGGTAGAGGTTTTAGTGTTTTAGGGTGTGAGTTTAATAAGGCAAAACCAAAACTTTCTCAGTTCTAGTTAAGGCTGTAAATTTGATGTATTATATTTTTACTGTATGTCAATATAATTTTACCTCGGGTTTTAGTAACGTTGTTGCTTTTTAGGTACCACATTTTAATTACTTAAATTTTAAAAGGTGTATGTATTTTCCTGCAAAATATCTTTTGCAAAAGAATTTCTAAAATTTATTTTTTGCACATTTTATTGACATCCATACAATTACTTTAGAGATGTTGCCAACCCTTGGAATAATTTTAATTAGGATTTCTTTAAATCAATGCATGCCTGACAGTCCAACACCATTGCTACAGTGCAATTCCAGTTGATTACAACAGAGTTACACATTAGCAACAGTATTTGCCTGTAGATTGAAACTCCCATAGCTCTTCAAAGCACGAATTAATTCAAATCTGATGGGCTTTTAGGAGTCACCACAACTATAACATGGAAGCACTTACTTTTTAGGCATCCAGCAAGTACCTCCCATGTTAAAGTCGAGGGGATCCTTACCGTGATGAAAATTGTGCTTTATGTATAAACACATTTTGTTGGTATATTTGATGTTTCTCAGAGGGATGTGTGAAAAAATAAGGATTCACCACCACTATAACATGGAAGCACTTACTATTAAAAGAGCAAAGCAAAAGTACATCCACATTAAAGTTGTGGGGGTCCTTTGGTGGAGAAACTAAAAAAACCCACCCCAAAGTATATACTAAGTTTTGACCATGCAATAAAATACATACATGTGTTTTATTTGAGAATCCTTGGAATGTTAGGATCCACCGCCACTGAAACATGGAAGCACTTACTTTTTTAGGCAGCAGGTACCTCCATGTTAAAGCAAAGGTAGTCCTTTAAAATTTAAAATGAACTTTAGCCACTTTTTAATTTTAAGGTCTTGAGGAAGATCTGCTCCCGCCGAAATCTTCCATCTTCTTTTTCCCGAATTTCAAAATCTTTGAAGTGCAGCCAAAAAAAAAAACCAAAATCCCATAAGATGTCTCAGGATTGCGGATCAGGATTCACCTCTACTAAAACATGGAAGCACTTACTTTTTCGATATCACAGAAAGCACCTCCATGTTAAAGTAAAAGGGGTCCACACACACACACAAAACCACAATTATTGACGGTGCTTGTCCTCTTCCATCAAAACTCCGAGCAAACTGCGACAAACAGAGAATTGGAGTTAAATTTTATTTCACTGTAGCAAAAGGGAACTTTAGAATAAGTTTAAAAAAAGAGCACAGGCATTGCAAATACTTACCTAATGGAGTCCCCTTGGGCTCTTCTTCCCTGAGCTCCACCTCAGCAGCTTGTATTTATACCAAGCCTACCAAGGCCTGGTGTTGCCTTTTTATCTCCAAGAATCAGTACGTGGGCCTTTTGTTATTTTAATGCCTTAGCTCTGCTGAGAGAATGTATGATCCTGGGTGACTCTGGATCCCTTTTTTTTTTTTTTGAAGTATACAGTTGTCACCGTTAACAGCTAAAACCATTACCACCAGATATCCTCCACCTCTTTAAAAATCCTCTATCAGCCCGTTTGATAGCACAGATTAGGGTAACAATGAGTCGTTCTCACAGTGGCACCGCGGGCATTGTGTTGCTGTGGAGCAAAGCTCTCGCCCTGTTTGCAGAAACATCTCCATGTTAAATGTATGTAAATATATAAATTGGTGCCGTGGGGGGGGGTAGTTTTTCACCGAAATGCATTTGAATGGTAAGGAATGTCCTTATCTCGGCGGGGTTTTGGTGGGTTTAACCAGCTGTTGATTTTCCATCAATGATTTTTTTTCCAGAAAATAAATGAGTGATTCTTAATATAGTGACACAGGAGCGGGTTCGGTGAACTAATTCAGTGAATTCAGACTTTACTGTCTCTGAATTAACTCTGAGTTTAGTGCCTGTGCTCTGTGTGGTTCCAGTGAAAAACACAAGTTTACCGAGCTGTTCTACGTGCTGTCCGAATCCTTAAAACAAATTTGGGAGTCCCTCCGTTGGAATGATAGGTTGGGCATGTTGGAACTCTCTTGGCTTACGAAATCGAAAGCAAAATAATAAAAAATTTGGATGTGGACAAGGTTTAATTTGACCGAAGTGCAGGAAGATCTCTAATGATTTCAACTGTTCACCGAGTCGGCCTTAAGCTGTTTGTAAACTCTTAAATCATCATTAAGTTTCTAAACACAGTTTTCTTGTTTGTTGTGCTGTGCCTGTGTCGCCTCTTACAGGACCGAGTGGATGGGTTTGAAGCAGGAATATTTGGCCCTGCAGAAAGCCAGTATGGCCTCGTTAAAGAAAACCATGTCTCAAATCAAACCTGAGCCCGCGGGGGAGATGGAAACGGAATCCTGCGCCCAGAAATCGCAAAATCACAAAAGTAACCCTGGGTTTGGTTTTGTTTTTTCATGTTTCTACTACACCAACACAAGGGATCCAAGATATTGATCTTGCAGAAATGCTGCCACGTGGTTTTATTTTCTGAAATGCTGGTGCTTTCTCTGAGTGCCAAATACTAAAAGCAACGTCCCCCCTGTATTTAGATGTATTTGGGACTGAGGTGCTTTATAAATAAAGACCAAACAATCCAATTCAGCATATTCCAGTGGCCTTTCTTAAGCTTAAAGATATTTTTAGGTAAATGTAATTTTAAAAGCTTTAGAGGTAAATCAGGAATTAGCTTTTTTGAGGCTATAGCTCGGGCCTGATTTGCTTTGGCTTAACTGTACCTGCAGTGATTCACAAAACTATTTCATTTAAAAAAAAAAAGTCATCTTGCAATTGGGCTTTATCTGCTTTATGATTAAAAGGAGCTTTGTAATTATGTCCTCATATTAAAACTTCTACCGTTGTTGGATATAGAGATGTTCTGTTGTTGTTGTGAAAAGAAGCAAAATTCACAAACTTCAACACTTGTGTTCCAGTGCCTGTCTGCATATTTTTGATTGCTCTAAAACTGAAGGTTTAACTACAATCAATTGAATATAAAATATTCTTATAAGGACACTGTGGACTGTAAAAACCCTTTGTAAGATTCTTTTCTTGAAGTGGTCTTTCTTTTTTTTTTTTTTTACTTACATTGACTTTAACCTCTGGACAATCTTGACCTTGGTTTAAAAAACCACAGCTCATCTGCCCTAACAATATTTGACTCTCGTTTACCTCGTGTTACTTCTGCGCTTGCATAACTTTAATTTCTCAGTTTAGCAGACTTTAAAACTTTCTTTTGGTGGTTTTTTTTTTTTTATTCCCCCTCTGTTTTTAACTCGAGCAGCCACCGGTGAAGATTGTGCCCCTCCCGCCAAGGCCAACACAATGGGGCCTCAGTTCGTCAGCGGAGTAATTGTGAAGATCATTAGCACCGAGCCCCTGCCGGGCAGGAAGCACATCAAGGTAATGCCTTTGTAACCTCAGGGAAGCTGTTGGTCCTTCCTCTCTCCCTGTGCCCCCCAAATGTTTGAATATGGAATACCACTTAACCCAGGCTGGCTGAAGGTTTTTTTTTAATCTTTTTGGCCAGTAGCTGCATACAGATTCTTGTCTACTACCCGAGAACGAGAGATTTTCTGAGGGCGAAATAGGCACAAGAGGATGTTTCAAAGTGAAAACAAGGCTTGGGTGTGCTTCCAGCAATGTCAAGTTTATGATGAAAATATGGACAAAAATAAGGAGCTCTCTAGTGCTTCCCAGTTTAACAAGAGTTGGGCACAAATACAGAACTCTGCATCAATCACTGTGCCAGTTATCCTGACAAGAAACCTATAAAAATATTTCTTCAATTAATATAAAAGTATATAACTTTTTAATTCCATTAACAGGAATTAAGGAGCAGGAAAATGCTCTCTCTCAAAAAAAAAACCCAAACCCACAATTTTTTCTTTTCCCAATAATAACTTTACAGTGACAAATTCCATTTCACTAGAGCCTGTAAAATCAGTCACTTTTTTTTTTCCCCTCTGCCAAGTGCTGTTTTTCCTCTTGAAAAGTGTCTAGGATACCTTCCATTTTGTGTGATGTCACGATACAAAAGTTACATGTGCTAAGCAGAATATTTCCTTGTAAGGAAAACACCAGTTTTAAGCTGCATCCTTTTGAAATGGAAATATTACAAGTTTTCCAAAGGAAATAACAGCGTTTTTCCAGATGCTGAAGTTTCCATGTATGACACAGGACACTTTTTTTCACAAACTGCACTTTTGGGTGAATAACAACTGGAAAGAATTTGAACAACTCGATATCTAGAGCACTTAGGTCAGTGGTTCACATGGTTCAAAAGGGGAGTTTTGAGGTGATTTCTCAAACGAAATTTATAACTGAGGAGGCCATTTCGAGTCACTGGCAAGTGTGTGAGGTTTGTGTGCATAAACCTAAGCAAGAGGAGAGACTCTCTCACCCTGAAAACCCAGTGATGGTGAGGTTTCAACCTAATCAGCCTTATCTGGTGGATTTGCAGGCAGTTGTCTGAGTGCTGGAGAGGACTGAGGGAATGTGGCAGTTGTCCCTGTAACCTTTGAGGGCCCCCTGGACTGCAGAATATACTTCACTGTTTAAAGTTTGTGTCACACCCTAATGTGGTGTGGGCAGGAGGAAAACTTACTATTAAAAGAGTACAAAACTAACTCTTTTTTGGAGGTTTTTTTTTCCCCTGGCCATACTGGTTACATAACTGTTGAAGGCAGAACTGCCACCAAGCCTGGCTTTGCTGTGTTACTGGACCATCATAAAACTGCCACAAATACTATTTCCATGTTTTCATTTTATACTTCTTCGCTGTTTTACTCTTAAGGTGCTTCTCAGAGCTGCTCACGTTTGCCAGCTCCAGTGAACTCTTTGGTTCCTTGTAGTTTTCCATGCAGTCATGACATTGGGATACCGGGGTGAGGCTGGAAAGCAGCTTTTGGTGGCTCTCAAATGATCTTAACAGCGCTATCACTTAACCTTTGTTTTGTTTTAAGGCTGCCCTCGGTAGTGGAGGGTTAAAAGCAGTGTGTGGTTCCTGAATGGAAGCATCTTAGTGGAGCTGCCTGCTGGGAACCAAATTGAGTAGGAATGTGTGTGGTGGTGCTTAATTTCCCTAACAGCAGGAATTACAAGTCAAATACTTCATCTGCAAGAACATTTGTGACTCTTCTTCCTTTAGCTGTCAGTGCAAACTATCAGGCAGGGGTCACTTCATAAAGACAGAGTTGCTTTACTACTCATTTCTCAGATAATCTGCCATAAATGGGTTTGGTTTTATATATTTAATGCGATGAATAAAGTGTTATATTTTCTGTGGGGTCGATATTGTTATAGTATGCCAATAATTAGCTTCTTATAAAAAAGTCAGATACAGTGTTGGAAAAAAAACCCAAACAGATAATTAGTGATGCTCCTTTTAGTAAAATGATACCAACTTTTTCAGAAATTACTGCTTGAAGTTGCTGGATGGCAGGAAGAGCTGGGTAGATGTTGCAGGCTCATAAATCAGAATTCAGGTATAACCTCCTTAGGAAAACATATTAACTCCAAACTATCTGACAAGAGACTGATGGATTAAACGACAGAGTTCACCTACTGCCTCCTACTTTTTGAAAATGTTAATGACCTCCAAATGGAATGGTCAAAAGTCACTGTTTTTATTGTATTCTCCTTCTGAGGGCTGATTTATGGTGTGTGTTCTCCCTCATGCTTTGCCAGGATGCTCTGGCAGTGCTGGCTGAGGTGGCTTATGTTGACATGCTGGAGGGAGACACCGAATGTCACGTCCGCTTCAAGACTCCTGAGGATGCCCAGACTGTCCTGAAATCCCACAAAGAGATCCAGATCAAAAACAACTGCAAATTCGAAGTTCTCACTGGTAAGACTTTGTTGTTGGTTTTTTTTTTTGGTTTTTTCTTTTTAATGTGCAGGAGAAGACTGTGGAATAATTACTGTGGAAAGGACCATTTCACCCGGTGGCTTTAGGATGTGTTTGTATATCTTGGTTTGGGGGAAAAGGCTGCTTGGTTTTTGGGGGGTAATTTTACCATTAGTGAAATGAGTAAAACTCTAAGGGGTTTTATGCCACCGTTCAGAGAAAAATAAACTTTGCTTGCTGTTAATTCTGTTTGGGTTTTTTTGACTGATTTGCTTCACTTTCAGTGGAAATGCACTTAATTCACGTGTCAGCTTTATGAGTAGAACATTCTGATGATGCAAAAGAATTTTAAAGAGACTTAAATACTGAACTGATGTGTGAAATAAGAGGACAAGGGTATAACAGCATGGATACACTTAAGAGTGGGTTTAGCACTTACCTACTAATTGATCTTGATTTTTCAGGAAGTTGGATAACTTAGGTCAGAATAAACCTTTTTCTGAATTGTATTTACACAAAAATTTCCCCTGGTTCTACTTTGGAACTTCATTTTAATGTGTATTACTTCTTTCTGAAATTACTTCATGTCTTGGATTGGATTAGTTTTCCAAGTGTAGAAAAATCTCTCTATGGAATTGAGAGGTAGAAAGAAGAGCGAGTCTCTCACAATAAAGCTTTTAAATTCTAGACATGCACTAAAAATTCTAAATGTGCAAAAAAAAAGCAGATGAGATTCCCTCATCTGTGTATTTGAGATTTTACTCCACTCCTGCACAGATCCTCACTTGAAGTCCAGTTTTATGAGTGCAGGGATATAAACTGCCCATGAAGTCAATTCAGGATTGCAGAATGCAAAGCTGTAACAGAAGCATCAACCCTCATGGTAATATCAAAGTTAATTCGAGTTTAAGACTCAGTGAATGCTGCTCCTGTCATTTGGGGATACATTTGTCTCCAGTGTGTTCTGTGCTCCAGAGATCCAGAAACAGCTTTTAAATTTTGGCTTTTACAGCTGAGTGCTCTCAGTTTGTCTCTCATTGTTTGTCTCTGGTTTTGTAGTCTTTACATAAAAGTGTAGTAGGAGATTAGGAGTAAGTACTACACTGTAGGAGCATTCTATTCATAGTATTAAGATTTATTTTTTTTTTTCTAACTTGCTCATTGAAATAAGAATGGAAAAGCTTCCCAGGAAAGCACAAGGAACTCCCAGTAAGGATTTTAGTTTTCCTCCCTGGCCTAAGGTGAGAGAATAAGAATAAGGAAGGAATCTTTTAATGCTCCCTGCTGCAGGGACTAAATCTTTCCCAGTAATATTCTACTTTTTAAGACTTAACTACTAAAGATATTCAGGTGAATGTCATATGAACATGCTTCACTTTTGCAGGAATACATTTGGGAGACTTCCCTGTAGCTGAACCATGAGACCATGCAACCTATCACAGAGTTCCCATTGTGGTGGTTACATCCCAAACCAGAGGGAACAGTGGAAAACTGCAACTTAACTGCAAAGCAGTTGCTGGGAAAAGCTGCACAATTATTTGCCCTTGTACTGCTGCCTGTGTTCAAATATTCCTGACAGCTCATGGAGTCCCCAGGCAATGGTTTTGATGGAACAAAACAGTCTCAGTTGTTCTTACAGTAATTACACTTTTTTTTTTTCTGTTTGGTAGTTGTTTTAAAATGAGTCAGAGGTTTGAGTACATGAGTAAATCAAAGGGCCTCCATGTGCTGTGGTGAAACTTCAGCTAAAACTCACCTCCTTTTGCTCATGACATGTAGAGAGGAATTCTGTAGGACTTCTGTGGCCAGGAAACTTTAAGATTACTGGGGAAATACTTGCTGGGTTTCCCTGACAGGTATTTTCATGTGTGAAAGCTGAAAACAGGACATCTATTTGTGTCCTACTTTTATTCACGTACCTGAATGTTATTTTGATTTCAAGGTGACAATGAACAACGTTACTGGCAGAAGATTTTAGTGGACAGACAAGCTAAACTTAACCAGCCTCGAGAAAAGAAGAGGGGGACTGAGAAGGTAATGTGCAAATCAAATCTCTTTGCTGCACAGCCACGGTTAAAAACATGGCTCTGTTTCTGCACAGATCCGTAATTTTTGATACTTTGTATATTTAATTCAGTTAAATCATTTTGCAGCAGAGTTTTACAGCTACGAAGGAGAGAATGTGTGTCTGTCCCAGTCCAGTTGACAAGTGCAAGACTTGTCTTTATGGGGACAATCAGAGAAAGTGAAGTGTGTATTTAAAGGTCTGAAGGTAATTTGAAGCTGGATTTCTTTGCAGACCCTCATGAAAAAGTTCAGTAGTCTCGATGTGCTGCAGTGAAATCAAGTCTAGTACTGATAATACTCTACTCTGATGCAGAAAATGGTTTTCTTGAGACTGAATCTCCTTTTCCTCATGACTTCCACAGTTCTATTTGTGCAGTTCTGCGCTGTGGTGAATGCTGGCAGGCATCCATAGCTGTACAGCTTCCAGATCCAAACTGGGAAGTTACCTTCCCTTCCAGCCTTGACCTTGGGGTGCCTGTCAGGCTGCAGAGTTGAGGCAGTGTTGCCATGAACCTCTGCTGGCTGCAGCCTCCACTCCTGCCACAGGAGATCCTTCCAGGCATGAAGGGGTTCCTTGATTAAGCCAGTCAGATCCTCCACCTGACAGAGAGGAGCCAAAGAGTATTTCACAGACCTTTTTATTGCCAGGTTTGCTTCACACACACTGCAGATAAGGTTTCTGGGTTGGCTTTAACCTGAATTTTTCTGCTGCTGCTTGCAAAACTTCACAATCATCTGACCTTAATTATTTGCTGGTGACTTTGGAGACTCCTGTTTCCTGGACGCTAGGGGGGGAGAAATTACATATGTAATTGAAAATAAATATTTAATTGACCTAAAGGAATAGGGGTTGTACAGGTCAGAGGCATGTTGGACATGTCTTACCCTGATTGTCTGAATGTTCTTTCAGAGATCCCATAGAGTAATGAGCAGAGTTCTTTTAAACGAAGGTGTGCATAAAGAACTTGCCCAAAGGTCTGATTTAATTTTCTTAAAAGCCTAAAGATGGCATTGACTCGAGCCATTTTTCTTTAATATGACTAGAAATGGAATGTGGAAGCTCTACAACTTAAGAGCATTTTACTGAATGCTGCCAGTTGTTTTTTTTAATGTGCTTTTAGTTTTTTAAACCAAAGTGGCACCTTAGACTTTAATTTAGATTTGCTCTCCAGTTTCTACTCTTCATCTTTTTGAAGGCTGGGATTTGTTGATCAAACCGGTGTCAATTGGGCAGTAATGCACCTCATCTTGGCCTGCAAATACAAACTGTCTGGGTCCTGCCTAACAAAGGCAGCACAGGGATGCAAATTCCTGCTCCTCCCCCCTGACCATCACCTTGCCCGCACCTGGAGGTGTGAACTTCAAAGCCCGGGGAATTCTATTTAAATGCTAACGCTGTGAAGCAAAACATCAAGACAAAAATGCCTGGCTGCACTCAGTGACTCTTAACCCGTTCCTTGCTTTTGGACAGGCTGTATTCCCAAAATATCGGCTCATAGTAAAGAAGTGTTAAATAATAGAAAATTCTTCCTTAGTGCTTACAAGGTGACTTCTTTTGGAGCTCGCAACAAAAGGAAGTAAAAAGTAATTATTCATAATAATATACCTACAGCAAAATATGCCATTAATGTATCTCTCTTGTAAAGATCTATTCTGCTAAAAATTTGTAAAATACCTTACCAGACTTTGAGGATGGGTGTTTGCCATTTAGCTGCTTTATGCCTGGAATTAACAGATCATCTCATCCTTTCTTGCAGTTAGTGTTGAAATGATGGGATGCAGTCCATGCCCTGGCTGCACACAGCTTCTGAGTGGAACTTTAGCCAGTTAGAAAACATGGAAAAGAGCAATTTCTAACAAGTATAGGCACACTCTCTTCTTTCCCTGGAATAAGGGTTAAGGATAACTTGAGTAGATTGCTGTAATAATGCTCACCCCCAAAACTGATTAGACCAGATTTAAGTAGGGATTTTACTTTCTCTGGCATAGTTCTTATAATAAACTAAATGTCCAAAAGAGATATTCCCAAGGTTCCCCAGAACTTGACTAAGTCCTTTGGAGTGAAAAAGGTGTTCAGTGTCAGACTTTCTCCCGGTCTTGGTCCTTCATTGTCACCCCTCTGCTGCCCCTTCCAAATCCATCTTCCCTTTTGTCTGTGGCTTTACTGCCTTGATAAAACCACCTCGGTGATTTACTGATGGAAAACCTTCCTGCCAGAACTGCTTTTTAGGGCAGTGCCAGTTTATTCAGACCTAAAGCAATCCATCAGTCTGCAGCCTTCAACTCCAGACTGATTGGAGTCTCCCATTCCCAAAACCAAGGAGTGGAGTGCCTGCAAACTCTCCCCTTGGATCCTTGTCTCCCAGGGGGAGAGGAATGTGGTTTGCACCTTGTGCCCCCCTTTCCCAGAGGGAAGGAGGAAGTTTAAGAGGGTGGGAGGAGTGGCAGAAGTGAAAGGCATTTGGTGAGCAACTGAGAATTGGGTATTTGTGAAGGGTGGCATAATTGACAGGATGTATGGAAAAGGAGGATAGTGGGAATGTCTGGGTACAGCCCACACTGTTCTCTGGGGGTCCAGGGCTGTGTCCTTGCCAGGCTGGGCAATTCCCTGTGTGTGGGCCCATTCCAGAGCACATCCCCAGTTCCCTGGCTCTGTGGAAGGGCTGGATTCCTGTTAGGAGACAGGATTAGTGTGCTCGGATACAGGCCCTGATCCTGGATTGATGAGCTGAACAATCCTTGAGGCCCCTTGTGAGCTCTGAGGCACTGGTATAAAACCACTCCCTGGTATGAACTGGGCAGCTCACATCCTACAACTTCCCTTGTTTGGAATTCTCCATCCCATATGTGGAACGAGTAAAACCACTGTACGCTTCTTGGTGTTAAACCCTTCTAGCAATTTTGTTTGTGTTAGGTATCCAGAGAGCAAAAGTAACCCTTGGTTACATCTTTAGATCAGTTTTATTCCTTTCTTTCTGAAATCCTGGCTGCCACAATCAGTGCAGCAGCATCCTGTGCACCTGAGTGCTGTCTGCAGACCACAGGCACGCAGAAGGAGCAAAGAATTTGATTTATATGTGAGATTTTTCAAATATAGCACAGTGGGGCTGCCCAGGGAGCAAATGCCCCCTCCCCAGAGCAAATGTCACCAGCACAGAAGTTACTGTGGGGTTTTTCTGTATTTTTGCTTTGGTGGTTGTTTTCTGTATTATAGCTGTCTTGTTTTGTTTAGGTTTTTTTTTTAATGTGGTTCTGTGGTTTTTTGTGTGGTGTGTGCCTGCATTTCTGTGTGGTTTCTTGTGTTGGTTTGTGGTTTCTGTGGTGGTTGGGGTTGTCTCTGTTCCTTTGACTGTATTTGTCTATTAGTTTTTTGGGGTGTTCTGTGGTGTTGGGAGACTTATGCTAATTTTTTTCTTGGTTTTTTTTTTTTTTTGAGTTGCATATTTTTGGGTTGTTGTTCAGTGTTGGTGGTGTTTGGGGCTTTTTTTTTTATTTATAGAGATTTTGGTGGTTTTTTGGGGGTACTGTGGGTTCTGTATGTGCCTTTGAGTGTGTTTATGATGTTGGATTGTGTGGGGTTGGTATGTGCCTTCAGCTCTGTTTCTGTGCTGGTTTGTGGGGGTTTTCCATGTGCCTTTTTATGGGGGTTCTTGTGTTGATTTGTGGGGTTTGTGGTTTTTGTGTGTGTGTTTTTCTGTGTAGATTTGAGATTTTTGTGGGTTTTGTGTGTGAGTTTGTGGTGTCAGTGTGTTCTATGTTTTGTGGCTTGTGGGTTTTGTGTTTGTCTTTAGTGGGTTTATGTGTTTGTATTCATGTGGGGGGGTTTCTGTGGGTTTTTTATTTGTGTATGTGGTTTTTCCCTGCTTTTATAGTTGTTCTTGAGTGGTGTGTGTAGGTTTCTGTGTGGTGTGCTGGAGATGTGGGGGTTTTTTCCTGTTTAAAATACCACAATATTCCTGAAGCACTCCTTTTGTGACCTAAGCTTGTTTTTCCTATACCTGTAACAAAATGAATCCAGTAAAAGGACAGAGGTTTTTTTACTCACTGTGTGAGACTGTATGTTAGGATTTTTAAATATTTTGTTGTCTTCAGCCATGTTGGGAGGAAGAAGGGATGGAATGAAAGCAACTGAAGAGACACTTTTATTTTGGATGATTCTGAGGCAACACTGAATTTATATCTTATATATTTGACAGATATCCAGCTTAGCTCAGATGAGCTTTTTCTGAGGAAGTTTTGTAAACCAGTGAAGAATATATCCATGACTGTAAGATCAAATCCTTAGAATATCCATTTTCCTCTAATTTCTGTGATATTTTCCCTGTTTGCAGCTGATTGCCAAGGCTGAGAGGATGAGACTGGAGAAGACTCAGCAGACAAGCAAACACATTCGCTTCACTGATAACAACTAACCAGGACTTGATGATCTTCGAGTGTGAACTGCAGGTATTTCAAACAAACCTACCAAAAAAACCAGCCCCCCACAGCCACCACTGCTTACAGCAACTAAACCCGGGCCCCCTGGAGCCAGAACTCTGCAGACTGCAAGTGTGAAGATGGGTCTGAACTCCCATTTTTGAATAGGCTGAATGTTTACTGCTTCTGAGCCTTTCTAGGTAAAGCTTTCTGGAAAATGTGTATGACAAGATTTTTGCTTTAGTTCACTTCTGGGGTTGTTTTCTTTTTTTGTTGTTGTTCTGTTTTTTTTTTTTCGGATTTTTTTTTTGTATGTTGAAGTTTTATACACTAGGTTATAAAATAAAAGGCTTGAGAAAATTTCAGCCGTGTATCTCTAATTCTTCCATTTGCTTTATGCCACCATAAATAATAAAAGTGGTTAATGCTGCATAAACCTCCCTAGGCCTCTCTTTAGCCCATCAAACTGTTTCAAAGTACAGGAGAATAATGTTCCCTGTACTTTCAGTTGGCTGGGGCTGTCGGGAACTCTGTTGTGGAGAAGTCTGGGAGAAAATTTACTTGTATAAATACACACTAAACTGAATTCAGCTTTTTTTTTTTTATTTGTTTTAGAACAATCTTCGGTGGAAGAAAATAATATCTTTGTTTGATACCTGTGGTTGCCTTAGCTCCAGAAGTAGTTCTTACTTGCAGATAAGTGTTAAAAGTCGGGTAGTTCACAGGTTAAGATGGTGATTTTAATGGCTTTCAAGTATTTCACGGGAGACTGGCAATATTTTAAAAATCCCCGAAGGTAAAACCGGAATTCTACAGGGGGCTGCACTTGTGAGTGACTCAGCCCTGCTGGCAGGGAGGGAGTGAATGGAGAGGATTAGCACGACTCAATGGAGAAGGGAATAGCAGCGATCAGGCTGGAGATACCAGGAAAACAGAGGGGAAAAGTGCAAGATAAGGGACAAACAAAAGGGCTGCAAGGGCTGGAGGGGAAGAGCTTGCTGATGGTTCTTGGAAATGGTGTGTGGAGGATTCCTCCCAGGGGAAAAGTGGGGGAAGGCTAAGAATTAACCCGGGTGCCAGGCATTCCCCTGTGGACTCCTGCACTATTCAGGTGTTTAGTCCAATCGCAGCATTTTTTATTTATTATTATCATTTAATCTTGAACTCCTCCCATTCTAGGTGGGTAAGATATTTGATGACACGAGAAAAATGATTTTCATACCTACCTATGAAAAGAATTGATCCATTACTGTTTTTTCTAGGCATTCTGCCTAAAAGACAGTTTGTTTTCTTTTTCCATGGCTGTGATGTGAAGGGGAAAAAATAAACCCACAAGCCTACTCTGGGTAAAATGTTCAGGATTTTGCTGCTGAAGTTCATTTGAGTCAAAAATATATCCGTGTTATTAAATAATTCAGCTCATAAATGATTCAGACTTTTTATGGGTGGTGGAGAGTGGAACTCAACTGCAAAAGCCTAAGTCTGGGAGTTATTGGTCTTGTATTTATATTTTCTGACTTTAACACACAGAAGTCACCCTTCTGTCCCTTTCCATATTTATACAGGTTAATTCCTTACACTTCAACATGTTTCCTTTTTCTCCTTTCCCAAACTAGTGCAGCAATCTGCTTCAGCAGGGAAGGACAGTCGGTGTTTTATTACTTCCTGAAGAAGTTAATAACAGCATTTTTGCTCTTAATTCACAAGTCAGGAGTGGAGAGGATGGTCTAGATGCTTTAACAAAACCTTGGATTCTCCAGGATGTGCCAGAATGGTTTGTGTGAGGTTTTTTATCTTTAAATACATGTGACAGGTAATTTTTGCTGCTTGTTATCCCTCCCCATCATATGCTGAGGAGTCCAGCATATCCTGGAGTTTTACCCTCCCAAGAGTTGCATCCCTAAAAATACTTCATATTTTACCTCTAGGAACTTCCCACAGTGACTCTTCCCTTTTTTTTTTTTTCCCCAAGAAATACACTTTACTTAAAAATTCAGGATGATACTGCAAAATTATAGGAATTCCTAACCTTGGAGTACTCGTTTGGTTTTGCTGATTTTTTTTTTTTTCTGCCTCCTCTGACTGTTTTGAGAGAACATCATTCCCCATCCATCTGCCTGGAGCAGAACCCAGCATCGATTTTTGTGCTCTTTGTGACCCAGCACGGGGCTGAATCTGATATTATTTTTAGCACTCAAATTTCTACTTCTCTCCCACGAGTTGCAGGCTCTGCGTGGCAGCAGCAGGACTGGGTTTAGTGGAACACCTGTCTGATATCCCAGGATTTTTGGGCCTGCAGGTTTTCAGTAGCACAGTATCCCGCTCACAACATGATGCTTTGCCCCTCCTGCCTGTCTCTGCAGTGCAGAAAAGCCTTTTTAAATTTGATTTTGCACCCTGTGTTCATGTTGAAGTTTGATTGTCCTCATCTTACTGTCACCTGGAGCGAGACTGTTCTACCTGTTTTATTTTACAGCCAATGCTGGTGTTTTGGGGTTTATTTTCCCCCAAGATGTAGTCAGTACACTAGTTTAAACAGGCTTTAAGGCATCCTTGAAAGCCAGCAGCTAAGTAAATTATCTTTTTCTAGAGAAGCTCCAAATGAAATTAGAAAATTACCCTCTGACAGATGACAAAGGCACTTGCCTGCCCAGGCCCCTGAAAACGTAGGTCAGTGTCATAATTGCTTTCCTAAGGGGTACCATGGTGTCTAATGATCCCAGGCAGGATTAAATCATGGGAATAATGCTGCACAGTGCTGGAAAAGTAATTAGATCAGGTATGCTTGGGTGACTTTGAGATGTGCCTGAGCGAGGGGGTAATGCAGTTACCTACAAGTCGCTGTGGATGGTTGTGAGGGAGTCGCCAGCTCTCCAGAGACTTGGCAGCACTCAAGTTTTTGTTGGTTGACAGCAGAGCCAGGCCAGGTCTCCTATTCATCCCTCCCTGGCACATGCAGCCGTCATCCAAGTCGCACCAATCCCTGCAAAACCAGGGGAAAAACAAGCGGGAGAATGTGGGAGAGCTTTGCTTGCCGTTGCCCCGGTGACCGGTTTTTGTGCTGGACAAACGTCGGCTGCGCTTTTATCGCCTTTTTACGGCGTTTTGAGCGGAACCAAACAAACATCCGAGCGGGAAAACAAGTTGGGAGAGGGGGACAGGGCTGGGACAGAGCAGCCCTGGCCCCTTGGGAGCGACCGGTGTCTCCCTGGGCAGTATTCCTGGCCTGTATTCCTGCCGTGGGGATTCTCTGCCCTGGCCCCGTGCACCCCTCAGCGGTAGCTGCCTGCCAGGAATGCTGTTTCCAAATGTTTCCTTGCAGCGTGCAGTCCTGGTGATTTGGGCTAAAGAAAGGACTTGGAATGCAATCAGGAGTCGTGAGTGTGGGATGGGGAAAGCCTTCCAGTGCGGTGTGATTTAATTAAGGTCGTTTAACTGCCCCTTCTACCTCTCTGGGCCGTGGCTCCATGGAATTCAGAGGGTTGTTTTTACTCTTTTTCCAGGTTTTTTAACTAAGGGTGTTCCCTGACTGAGGGACTCTTGAGTCCCTCGCTGTATGTCATCCTGGGGAGGGCTGGGGGTGGGGGTGGCAGCCCCGAGGGGTGACAGAGGGACAGAGGGGGCTCCTGCCCGGGCTGGGCTGAGGGGCCTCGTGGGACCAGCAGAGGGCAAAGCTGCTCCAGCCGTTCTGGGCTGCAGGCACAACACAGAGCTGGGGGCACTTTGGCATCCAGTGGGTTTGGCTGTGTTGCTCCCTGGCTGATGGCACAGATAAATCCACATACATCTCTCTTGGGAAAAGGGAAGGTCCAGTTCTCCCACCCTGTGAACGATGGATGGAGCAGGCACGGTTGAAGACCTTTTGGCCTCCCTGCTTTGTGCAATTTTCTCCTTTGGTTTTGGTTTGTTTTGCCCCACCGTGGCTGGTGTTTGTTTCCTTTCCCACATACACTGAAAGGTGGTTCTGATATGAAAAGTGGGGGTGTTTTACCTGGTGCTTTGTGTATTTGTTTGAGTGTTTTGGGAATCCAGCTGCTCCCTCAGACATTGCCCATCTTGTCTGGTGCTCAGTAGGTAACTTCTTACAAGGTTCAGCCTAGAAAACCTGTTCCATGAGCACAAATACCAAGTGTACTTGACCTTTTGGTTCAGGTCTGCCTTTACAGCAGAAGCAGAACTGTGGAAAAAACACAGTGAGTCTCTTGAAAAACTGAAGCGAGAGGGAATTAATTTTATTATTATTGATTCATCTTTTCCTTCCCTGAACTTTGGATGCCCATTCCTTTTCTCTTTGTCACTGGCTGTGGGGATTGAAGGTGAACTCTCTCGTGAACCTCCAGACCATGGGCATACCTGAAACCTTCATTATCCAGGTCCTTTGCCCTGCTCTTACACTGGTGGAAAAAACAGCATAATAGGATTAGAATCAGGGCAAAATGTTTTAAATTATTTGGGTGTTGAAGCATGCAGCTGTGCAGCCTATTTGGGCTTAGACTGTATCTACAGATGTATTTTAATAGCCAAATCTCTCTTATAACTATATATAGGTACAGCTGCAGTGGCAGAGTGGGTCATCTGCAGCTTCCAGCAGGGAGACACACGCAGAGCTGTTTTTGCAGCTTTTAAGCCTGAATTTGGCACCATCCCCTGTTTCAGGTGTCCTGATTACAGCTCCTGTGCTGTACTTTATATTCCATTTATTATCCAAGTGTTTTGGCACTGCTGGGGACACAGTTGCTTGTGGCTGGGTTGGAATCTTGCCTTTAGGGAAGCGGGATAGTGTCTCCCACTCTTCTTAACTCCTACTCTCTTGCTTTGTTGGTTGGGAACTCCATGTTAATTTTGTCCTAAATTGTATATATAATTACATATATATAATCATCCTTTGTGCAAAAGTAACAATTGTAAGGAATATTCAGATACATTACAGCAACTGGTAGCTGAATGGTGCATGCAGAAGAGCGAGCCCTTCCTTAGGGAGCTTCCTGAGGAGATGTTGTTGGAAAGGGATGGCAGGAGAGTCCATAATGAGGAGGAATGGCTATGAGAGCTAATGCTCTGTGTGGTCACATTGTATATGAGACAAGAACTTCGGATGTGAGATGGCAGTTTATGGGAGGAAATGGAGGTATTCCTGCTGAAATTGGTGGTGGGCAAGGCTGGGAGAAAGGGAATGTTTTCTGTAATGTTCTCCTGGCATGCTGTGCTGGAAAGACAGCTTGCTTGCCCAGAAAATGTTGTTTCTCTCCACTCTCCCAGAGGGAAGGCTGCTGGATGGCAGACAGTGTGTCCTGCTGCGTGGGCAGATGTTAATCAACCTGTCTCACCACAGTGGTTCTGACACGGGCCATCACCACCTTTCCAAATCTCCACGGCTGCCTCATCCAGAGAGGGCCTGACCCAGGTTCAAGGGGTTAATTTTGAAAACATTTTTTTTTCCTCGTGTCTCAGGACTGTCTGGTTTTAGCTGTGATGGGGATCAGAAGTGACAAGGTACCGCAGGGGAGCTGTTCTCCTGGGCTTTGCATCATGCCTGAAGCCAGACCAGGAACATCCTGAGAGGGGCTGATCCACCAGACCCCTCAGATGACACCACTTTGACCAAGCAGAGTTGCTTCCCAGGTTTTTTTGGCATTCACCTCTCAGAGCACACCAGGATGTTTCCAGAGCCAGGTGTGATGGTGGCTCTGTGCAGAGCCAGGACAGACCCTTTTGGGGAGGGGGCTGCACATGTGGCTGTGGGTCATGGAGAACGTGACTGATATTCTTGGCCTCAGCAAGCTGACTCGGTATTGTGACTGCAGTGTCCCTTGGGAACATCCTGTGTGTGCTGTGGAAAAGGCAAGGAGCAATTATGTCAGAAGGAAAAGATGTTATTTTTCAGTGCCATGGCTCTGCTGTGGATGCTCGGAGAAGAGCTCACAGGGATCTCAGACCAAACAGACACGTCAGATGTGTTGCTATGGCCAGATACAGATATTTCCAAATGGGTATGGCTATTAAATACATGGGAGATAACAGCAATCTGAGAAGCACACAAGACAGAAATATAGTGAGACCAAATACTTGGTTCGGACCAAATTAGAGGTTTTTTTGTCTGATTTTTAAATGCAGCAACTCAAAAAGGCCTTTTCACACAGTAGAAAAGCCTCTTTTGCTGTTTCAAAGCTTAGCACAGAAAGCTGATAGACAGAAAGGAAAATACAGCTTCCCAAATCTATCTTTTACATAAAATCAAAATAAGGATCCTGACATTAGGACAGGACAAGACCCAAGACTGAAGCCACTGTGTGGCTTTCAATATCAAAATGCAAAGCCCAGCATTACATGACACTAATCTATGTGATAGCACGGGCAGCTTGAGGCCCATCAGGTCCATCTGATGAGGTTCTGCCACCATCCCATCTGTTTTGTATTCATCTGTCACTGAGACTCTGAGCCACTGGGGAGGAAAAAGAACTGGCAATGTCACCGTGGCTTTCTGACATCCTTACAAGCAGTGTGGGGATTGCTAGAGGTTGTTTCCTGGTGCTTATCAGGGACATCAAAATGTAACTAAATACCACCTAGGAGGAAATACTGTTGTTACCCATCGGGAGTTCCAGACCCAAAACTGCTGTTACACCGTGTTTCAGCTGTTCCTGATAGAAAGGAGATGTGTGTTGGGCACAGTCCTGAGTCCTGCTGGAGAGTCCACTGCAACCACTAAGGAAAAGGGTACAGTGTGGGCTCTCTGAGCTGCAATGTGCTGCTAACGCTCCGTGCAGTTGTCTCAGCCAAATCTTCGTCTAATTTGCTTTAGCAGCAGATGTTAAAAGGAAGAACAAATCAAAGCAGCTGTATACCCAGTGGGACTGAGGTTTCCTTGAGCTCGGCACTCATCTCCAGCAGCAGCAGCAGTTGGCACCCAGGGAAGAGGAAAAAAAAAGTGGATAAAGAGACACTGAAAGTTCCCTGAAACAGCCCCTGAGCCTCTGGAGTGCAAAGTATGTCTTTTAACTCCTACTTTTTATCCCTTCTAGTAGGCTCTTTTCCAGTCCTTGCTGAAGAGTAAATGCTTTTTCTGTGTATTCCCCGCAGGCTGCCCTACTTTACACCATCACCTTGGAGATGGAAAACACAGTTCTCTGCAAAATCTGCTTGTCACGATTCCCAATGTTTTTTGTATCAGAGGTGAGGCAGCCAAACCCTGACCCCGCTGAAAATCCCTGGGCGGTCACAGCTGAGTTTGGCGCGGTGGGGGCTGTGCCTCCGGGAGGGAGGCACAGAGAAGTATTTCGGACGTTCCTCGCAGGTCCCGGCACAGCTTTGTGCGCGTCTCCTTTGTTCTCCGGCAGTTTCCATGGTGCTCCCGCTTTTGTGTGCAGACCTGTCTGCGGGCAGCACTTCTTCTCCAACGCCGATTTCCCGAGGCGAGGCGGCGCATCGCATTGCCGTGCCCGTGCTGCAGAGCTGCCGGGCGTCAGCCACCGCCGGCATCCTGCAGCCTGGCACTCGGGAACCTCGGGAAACTACGGATTCGTGTGTTTTAAAGGAACGGAGCGATACGCAGTAACCCAGCTCAGCCTTTCGCCGGTCGTGTTTAGCAGTATGAGAGGAGGGAGGGCTCTTATCCGAAGGGATCGTTGCTGTAAAATGAAAAGGCAGGGCAAGAAGCAGCAGCCATGCTGCTGTTTGCTGCAGCACTCTGCAAATTCGATCTGCAGATGATCTGTAGGTGTAACAAAGCATCATTCCCCTCGCACAGGCAAGGATGAACTAATTTATCTGTTATCCAGCTGTTAATTCTCTGCTGATCGTTCTGATACCGGAGCACTGACCTCCTGAATGGCATCAGCAGGGAGGAACTCGTGGTCCTCACGTCAGGCACAAAGTCAGAATAACCTGTCCTCTGCTATTTATGCCCAGGAATGATATCCCTCAAGAAGCCCTGAGCCTTGAGCCTGCTCAGAGGATCACAGTAGAGGGCTTAGAGCCCAAGACTAGAAATATTTCAGCGGGAAAACCGGTTCTGGGCATCTTACAGGCTGTTCATCCAAAAGGAACTGGAGTGTAAAATCACTGCCCAAGTGAAAAAGCAGGCGAAAGGGCAAAGCTGTGCCAAGGGGGGATTGTACCTCCCAGGCACAGCAGAGAGTACATTAAATGGTGGGAATCAGGTCTGTTTAGCAGGAATGCAATTTAATCCAGGACCTGCAGATACCAATAAGAAAAAACATTAATATCAAAATATAGAGAGAATATCACTGGGGGCACAAGGGTGGCTTAGAAAGAGATGTCTTCATCACAAAAACTAAATACTGCTTTTTCTTCACTAAGGTGAAGCTTGTACTGTGTGCTGGGAGAGAACAGGCTGGACATGGAAATGAGCGTTTGGTAAGCCTTGGCAGAGGTTTTCAAGGATGCCTAGAAAATTATAATGCCCAATTAAGTAGGAATTGGTCATCCAAGTCCCTTAGGCGGTCCTGAAAATTGCAGCCACTCTGCACTGCATCTCATTTTCAGTCAGATTTGTCCCTTCTGCTTCTCTTTGCACTCCTCTTCCAGCACCATCCGCAGCTCCTGCTGGCGCAGAGCTCCAGCTGAGGCTGAAGCCAAGGAGCAGGGCTTGGACACATGGCATTCCAGCAGCCTCAGTGGGGACAGGAGAGGGGATAGTCTGCCTCTGTTGAGGCCATTCAGAGCTGGAGCTTCTCTGTATTAGCTTAACTTCCTAGGAACCCCTGAGAATTTTACTGTCCTTGATTTCCTTCAGCAGCTCCACTCTTGGAATGGGCTGTGCCTGGGCACAAGAGGTGAGGGAAGCCCTTCACCTGGCAGAGGCCTGGGAGATAAGAAAGGAGTGAAAAAGCCTCATTATTTTAGAGGTAGATTTGCAAGAAAACAGGAGGGAAACCTCATTCTAGATGTCAGCAGGAACAGCATCCCAAGGTTTCCTGGGAGCCCCGCTCCAATACCACCTTTAAATATGGAAGACTTGCTCGTGGCCACAGCACTGCTTCCCTCTCACCTGGGTCTTAGTTTTCCATTGATTCTGTCTGATCCAGCCTTCTCAATGACTAAATCTCCACTTCCCACAACCTGCTATCAGTTGTTATTCCTTCTCAGCCCTCCTCCTCATCCAGATCCATCCAGTCTATCCGCGGCCCTGGAGTTCCTGAGCTGTGTTGCCAGCCTGCAGGAGGCTGGAATTGTGCTGGTACTTCTCAGGAATAAACCTACTGGTTGTGCACAAGGCACGGTGGTGGGATCCAAGGAAAGGACGTGTCCTTGTGCGACAGAGCTGACCTGGACAGATGTTCCTTTTGGAAGTACCAGGACATGGAGAGCGGCAATGGAACAAATAGAGGTGAGCAGGATGAAAGCTCTCTCTCGTACGGGTTTGGAAAAACACCCTCTCCACCTGTAGTATTCCACAAGTGAGGAATAACGGTGCTTTCCCATCAAACAGCCGGTGGCTCTCGTTCAGCAAAAGACATGCCAGGTGTTCCGAAAAGCTGCCAAAAGCGTCAGCAGGGGAGGGAGGGAGGCAGGGACACGGAGCTGGAGGTGGGGCTAAAGGTATTGGCTAAATCCCGGCGCAAAGGCAACTAAGTAGTTTCTAAATTAATTAGCAGGTAGGGCTAAATTTAGCCTCTCCCTAATGCACTAGGAACCGTGGTGACTTTGCAGCCTGTGCTTCCCGAGGCTGCTTTTAGCTCACGGCACTTGAATGCGGGAAGGGCTGATGGGAATGACCCGGACTGTGGGACAGGCTCTCGAGTCCGGGGCAGGGCATCAGTGGGAATTTTGCAGAGGGATAATGTTGATTAATAGCTTTGCTACACCTCGTGTTAAAGAACAGAACTATTTTTGGAAGGGAACTTGAGTGAGGCAGCAAACTCGTTCTCTGCTGAATAAGGGGGTCATTTGTTTTAATAGCAGATTGCTGTGTAAGGAGACGGGGATTTTGGTGAGGATTTGTGAGACGGTGCCACACTTAAAACATGTGTGAGTGAAGGTTTCCTTGGGCAGGAAGGCAGGGAGTGGTGTAATGAGCTCCTGTGGCTAAAATTGAGCTAAATTAGCGTCATTAACCATGGGAACCCCTTGCCTGGGAAGGGAATGGATTCATTTTAACTCAGCGCTTTCAAAGCACCTTTCTGCTGTGTTTATTGTAGCTCCCCCATCTGTTTGGGCTTTGTTTCCGAGAGAAACTGTATTCCCAGAAACTCCTGTCTTACACGGGAGATCAGGCTCTCTGAGTATAGGGTTCCCCGTGGCCCTGAAATATCTGAATGTAGGCAGCAGGGAAGAACCGTGTTCCACCCAGGTAGTGGTCAGAAGGTGCTCCAGGGATTGAAAACCCTGCGTGTGGGTGTGAGCACGGGGTGGGATATGAGGATAATCGCACCTGGAAATACCCCTTGTCTCTCTACATCCCTAAGCCGCGGGTTTACCCCCGTATTTTCACGCTTGGATCCGCAGGGGAGGGTGCGAAAACAAAAAACCCCCCGCGGGTTCAGCAGCAGCAGGGGATGCTCCGGCTGGGGGCACGCGTGGGGTGTGTGCATGTGGAGGGGTCGCGGCCAGGCGTGAAGGGAGAAGGGGGTGTGCGAGCACGGGTGGGATGTACCCGGTGTGTGTGTGTGTTGTGTGCGTGGGAGGACGAGGCGGGTCCTCCGCCCGCGCCGCCCGCCGGCAGCCGCCGATCTGTCCGTGTGAGCTCATCGGCAGCGCGGCCGCTGCCTCCCGCACCCACCCACCCACCGCACACCCACCCACCCACCCGCGCTGCAGCACCGGCGGCGGCCGCCCCCGGGAAGGTCACCCGCGGGTCCCCGGCATGGTGGCGGCCGCGGGGGGCTGAGAGGAGGCGGGCGGCGGCGGGAAGGAGCCGAAGATGGCTTCGCCCGCGCCCCCCGCGCCGGGAGGCGGCCCCTCGCCCCCCGCCGGCCCGCCGCGCCTTCGCCAGGTGGGTGCTCCCCTGCGCGGGCGGCGGGGCCGGGGGGGATTCCCCGCGGCGGGGCTGGGGGGCGGCCCGCAGGATCCACCCCCCTGGAGAGGGAGAGAGGGAGGGGGGGGGGGGGGGGGGGGGGGGGGGGGGCGGGATCCAGGGATGCGAGCGGCCCCGAAGCGCGTCGGTGGGCAGGTGGATGACGGAGCGATGGACGGATGGTTTCTTTTCTGTTCTATTAATAAAAGTCGGTAAAATCAACCCAAAATCCCGTCTCCACCCCAAAATCGTCCCAGGCGGCACCTGTGCAGGTGTGCCCGCGCAGCCACACGCAGGGGGGAGCGGCGTGTGCACACGCGTGTGCGAGTTCCCAGTGGTGCAGCGCCGTGTCGTGCCGTGCTGCATCGCCGCGGTGGCACAGCGGGGCCGAAGGCATGAATAAAATCTTAATTAACGTAATGCAGCGATTTCCAGGAGGCTCTTGCTGCATGCAGCGCGCTTTTCCGCTCGCGTCTCGCTTCCCAGAGTAAAGGAGAGAGCTCCGGCTTTTGCGGCGGCTGCTGCATTAATTTACATTTGGAATGGTGAAGTTGGGCGCGGGAGTTGTTGGGTGTTCTCGACCTGGGAAGGCCGAGCTGCTGGGCGTCCCTGGGGTGGTTCGTTCCACGAGCACTTCGTGCCTCCTGAAAATGGGGGAGAGGCAGAAATGCAGGGATGTGGTGCTGGTGTGTTCGGCTTGCTCTTTTCTGCTAAGGCTGTAATGTTACGGTGATTATTAATAAAGAAAAAAGATTAATCAAGGAAAAGCTGTTGTAAAGAAGGATTCCCGGTGAGTAATCAGATTAGCATAGGGTGTATGTACTCAAATATAAATCCAAATATAAATCCCATCCTGCTCTTCCCTCCCCCCCCTTCTATTTTCACTGGTGGTACCGTTGATGAGGAAATCCCACAGGCCTGGAGTTGGGACAGACATCTGAGAGTCTGGGGGAATATTTAAACTTGTCAGTGCCCTTACATGCAGGAAGTTTGGGCTGGGCAGCTTCAGCAAAAAGGCCTTTTGTGTGGGTTTGCTTCTGACCCCGGCTGGAAATGGCACAAGAACAGCTGCCCCCTCACCCCCCTGTATTTTGGCACTTCCTGTTCCCTTCCCTGCTGGAAGCCAGAAGAAAAAAAATCTCTCCAGTTTATTGCAACCTTCAGTAGCTGTGATCAGCAGTGTCCGCACGATAGGTGAAAAATGTTGGGTATGGAAAAGAAGTTCCAGGTAGTGGAGGAAAGAGTTGGGGATGAAGAGCCCAAGCACTGAGGATCCTCACCAAAGCTGCCTTCTCTTTGCCTATAACTTATTCCACGTGCAGCATCCTTCTGAGCAGTGTCAGCTCCCTGCCACGATCCTCCTTGTTTGAGACCTTTGGGTCACTCCTCAGGATCTGGGAAACATGAGGTCACAGGTTTTTTGGTGGCTGCACATCCAGCAGCAAATGGGGAGCGCTGCGCTCTCTGGAGCATTCTGAATTGACTTCTCCCGGGGTTATTCATTTTACATGAGGAAGAGACATGACAATGTAATATCCTGAATTAGTAGGCAGAAATCACTCATTAAAAAATTGACTACTACAGCTGTTTTACTGTCTTCCTCTGCATTTTGTCCGCTCTATATTTAGAATTATTTTTAATTGCATTTAGAAAGGAATGACTCATCGGGCATGTTTCTGAACTATGGCTGGGGTAGAGTGGGGTATTTATTTGGATTTATTTATTTGAATTTTTGCTGCCCTTCAAGAAGACATCAAACACACGTTATTGGTGACCTTCAGAGGAGTAAAAACCTCCGTGAATAAATTCCCAAAAAGCCACTCCAGACCAAGGTAAAGAACGCAACAGTGGCTGAAGTCAATCTGTTTCCCCATAAATCACTAGCAGTCTCTCACTTTACCAAGCATCTCTTGCACCCTTAGGAGGGAAGAAGAGTAGAAAACAAAAGGGAAGTGAACACATTTGCTTGTAACCATTTGTAGTGACTTTTGTTATCACAACACACTTTTGTGATAATGCTGAATGAAACCTGAAGTCGGCAATGTGCTGAATTCCTGCTACACTGGAACCTCTGGGAGATCCTTCAGTTAGTCCTGTCTTGCAGCTTGAGTACGAAACTCATTGAGGAAGGTGCTCGAACCAAAGTTGTATTTTTTTATATATATGTTTTTATTATGTCTTTCATTTAAGAGATCTCTGAAATTTTCCTCGTGTTAAATATATATTTCGGGGGGTGCTTGCAGAACCGAGGCTCTTATTTGCATCTGTGAACCTGTTCCAGCAAGAACTGTATTTTCCCTTAAACACCTGGGTTGTTCCATTTAAGTTGTGCTTAAGGTCCTGCAGTCAAGATACCAGTGACATTTGTTATGTAAAGATTAGGAATATACCAAACAAAAAGCCAAGCTGTTGTAAATTACACCGTGGAGACCATTGTGTTTGGAATAGGATGGAAGTTGTTTCTTTTGTTAGTAGTCACGTGAGTTATTTCCACATTTTTTTCCTCCCAGTTGTCAATGCTGCACTTGTCTAAAGGAAATCTAAACACTTCTCACATTAAAAAATACAGCCACTTTAATGAACTTTGCAAACTAAATAGTCAGGTAGGTGTTCTCTGGAGCATCATGGCACTCAGGAACTGCTATCCCACTGCACCTCTGAGCATGCAGGAATAAATTAACGATCCTAATCCATTATCTGATACGGAGAGAAAGTGTGAAAGTGTGCAGGAGTGTCTTTTACAGCCATTTAACTGATCTCAGGTAAAGTTCCTTATCACCAAGCAACGTACAGCGGTCACACAGTAATTTTCCTGCTGTCATGGCATTATTGATCCCCCTGAAATCCCTTTATCCCATCTAATTTTCTTTTGCTAAGACACCTGTCTAAAATGATGCCTGGAAGTGGATGTCCTCCTTTTCCCATTCAAGCTTTCTTTTTTTTTTTTTCTAAACCCTGAAATGTGGTTGGACGTATTTGGAAATCCAAAAGGACAGGAAGGTTTCTGGGATTCCAAACTCATGGCTTGGACTAAGAAGCATCAGTGGAGAGAGAACACCATGGTGCTCAGATGAGGAATGCTGGTGTGGATGTGGGAAGATGCAGAACAGAGCTCCTGGCATCCTGCTATTCCGGGGATGTTTCTGTGGCAGAGAAGTTCTGTGTTGTGAATCCATCTACTTCATCTCAAATCCTACAGTTTTCCAGCCGCTCAGTTTGAGTTGGTTGATATGAGGTCTGCTCCTAGGGCTTGACAAAAATCTGTTAGAGAGACACTTCAATTGCGGGGGGAGGACTGCAGCAACCAGTTTCCTTTTCCTTATTTACTTTCCTCAAGAAGTTTCCCCCTAACTCTACTGGATTTTCCTCTTTTATACTCTGTTTTATAATTTTTTTTCACTTAAAACTTGTGTCCCACTGATATTACAGGTTACCTTCTGGACAATTCATACCACTGACTGACTGACCACTAT